GAATGCAACTAACAAAGGATGTAAAAAACCTCTTCCAGGAGAACTACAAACCACTGCTCAAGGAAATAAGAGAGGACACAAACAGATGGAAAAACATTCCATGCTCATGGTTAGGAAAAATCAGTATTGTGAAAATGGCCATATGGCCCAAAGTAATTTATAGATTCAACACTATCCCCATCAAGCTACCTATGACCCTCTTCACAGAACTGGAAGAAAACATCTTAAACTTCATATGGAACCAAAAGAGAGACCACATAGCCAAGTCAATTCTAAGCAAAAAGAACAAAGCTGGAGGCATCACACTACCTGACTCCAAACTATACTGCAAGGCTATAGTAATCAAAAAAGCATGGTACTGGTACCAAAACAGACATATACACCAATGAGAAAGAACAGAGATCTCAGAGCGAACGTCACACATCTACAATCATCTGATCTTTGACAAACCTGATGAAAACAAGCAATGGGGAAAGGATTCCCTGTTTAATAAATGGTGTTTGCAAAACTGGCTAGCCATGTTTCTGCAGAAAGCAGAAACTGAACCCCTTCCTGACACTTTACACTAAAATTAACTCCAGATGGATTAAAGACAAACATAAGACCTAACACCATAAAAACCCTAGAAGAAAACCTAGGCAAAACCATTCAGGACATAAGCATAGGCAAGAACTTCATCAATAAAACACAAAAAGCATTGGCAACAAAAGCCAAAATAGACAAATAGGATCTAATCAAACTCCAGAGCTTCTGCACAGCAAAAGAAACAATCATTAGAGTGAACTGGCAACCAACAGGATGGGAAAAAATTTTTGCAACCTACCTATCTGACAAAGGACTTATATCCAAAATATACAAAGAACTAAAACAGATTTACAAGAAAAAAATGAACAAACCCATTCAAAAGTGTGCAAAGGATATGAACAGACACTTTTCAAAAGAAGACATATATGAGGCCAACAAACATATGAAAAAAATGCTCATCATCACTGGTCATTAGATAAATGCAAATCAAAACTACATTGAGATACCATCTCACGCCAGTTAGAATGGCGATCATTAAAAAATCTGGAGACAACAGATGCTGGAGAAAATGTGGAGAAATAGGAACACTTTTACACTGTTTGTCGGAGTATAAATTAGTTCAACCATTGTGGAAACAGTGTGGTGATTCCTCAAGGACCTAGAAATAGAAATTCCATTTATCCCAGCAATCCCATTATTGGGTATATATCCAAAGGATTATAAATTGTTCTATTATAAAGACACGTACACACGTATGTTCATTGCAGCACTGTTTACAATGGCAAAACTTGGAACCAACCCAAATGCCCATCAGTGATAGACTGGACAGGGAAAATGTGGCACATATTCACCATGGACTACTATGCAGCCATAAAAAACAATGAGTTTGTGTCCTTTGTAGGGACATGGATGAACCTGGAGAACATCATTCTCAGCAAACTGACACAAGAACAGAAAATCAAACACCATATGTTCTCACTCACAGGAGAGTACTGAACAATGAGAACACATGGACACAGGGAGGGGAGCATCACACACTGAGGTCTGTTGCGGGGGACTAGAGAAGGGACAGTGGCGTATAGGGAGTTGGGAAGGGATAACATGGGGAGAAATGCCAGATATAGGTGATGGGGAGGGAGGCAGCAAACCACACTGCTATGTATGTACCTATGCAACAACCCTGCATGTTCTTCACATGTACCCCAGAACCTAAAGTGCTAAAATATATACATAAATATATTTTGATATAAATATATATATATTTTTAAAAAAGAAATTATCCCTAAGGTAAAAGCAGTAAAAAAATAAAAATGATGTAGAGAAAAGATAAAATATCAGAGTAAAGAGATAATTTCACTCTGAAGAGTGAAGAAACAGAATTAAGAAAGTGAAGAATGAAATGAAGAGAATGAAGAATGGGAGTGAAGAAACAACCAGTGAAAGAGTGACAGATGTCAAATAACACAGAAAATATTTCTTATTTAGAAAAAATTTTTTAAATAATAGAGAATACACACCAGATATTTGGTAAACAGAACCCACCATGACATATGCTAGGTAAACATCTCTACCTTCGAATATAAAGAAAAAAGTTAAGCCTAGACAACATAGCAAGACCCTATCTCTTTAAAAATTTTTTAAATAAATAATTAGCAGCATTCCTTGTAGTCCCTGTTATGGCGATGCTAAAGTGAAAAGACCACTTGAGTTCAGAAGTTTGAGATCAGCCTTGGTGATACAGCAAGCCCTAATCCCAATAAAATTTTATATATATAAATTACACACTTCAATAAAACATGAACAATGTCACAAAGAAGTAAAAAAAAATTAAGAGTATGGTACTCACCAAAGAGTAAATATTCTATTTACCTCCTATTTCAACTACTAACGACTGAAAAAAATCTCTACAGACCTTTAAAGGAAAATACCATGATGCAAGAATTTCATTCCCTGCATATGTGATAGCAAAAGAAAGTCAGTTTGAGATATGAAACAGCTCAGAATATGTACTGCCTAGAAACCTTTCCTGAATAAATAACTCAAAAATACTGAAAAATATCAAGATGCATTGATGTTCACCTAATATTCATCTTTTTTTGTTTTGATTTGTTTTTGAGGGACAGGGTGTTTCTCTGTGACCCAGGCTATAGTGCAGTGGCATGATCATGGCTCACTGAAACTTCGGCCCAAGCAATCTTCCCACTTCAGCCTTCCAAGTAGCTGGGACTACAGGTACACACCACCACACCCAACTAATTTTTTTACTTTTTGTGGAGATGGGGTTTTAGCGTGTTACCCAGGCTGGTCTTGAACTCCTGGACTCAATGGTCTGACTGCCTTGGCCTCCCAAAGTGCTGGGATTACATGCATCAGCAACTGTGCCTAGCTATATTAACAATTGTAAATATGGTACAATTGAATTTTTGTAACCCTAAAGCCTAAAAGGAAGCTCAAATCAATATCATACCTCTTTTCAAGAACTAAAAAGAAAATATTTTTTAGGAATTTGCCAATTCAAAGCCAGAAACTAAGCAAACTAAGATGTCATCTTTTAGCATAGATGTACTTTTTAAAGTATACATGTTATTGAAGCAAAGCATACATACATGTAAAACTACACATAGGCAGAAAATGCTGAGGCAAGATGTTCCCTCTGCAATATCGGAGAGCACCTCCATCTGTGATTTGAAAAAGGGCCACAGTGAGGTTGCCCAGGGTCTCAAAGGAAAAGCTGACTCTAAGGCATCCCTTCACCCCCAGAATGCCTCCCTATTGCCATCTCCTTGACTAATCAGAGGAACTGGCACATTTTTTTCCCTGATAATCCTTTGTGACCTTTCTATAAGACTCTTAATTTCCTTCTTTAAGTTACAACCAGAGGCTGGGAGTTTTTGCATTTGGATCAAATATTCCATTATCATTATTCCCTAGAAGAGACAGTTTTACAATAACATGTGTGTGAGGGGACTGGTAGATAAAGTATGACCTTCCTTCCACAAACTAAAAGCTAAAAGACTTTATTCGTTTTTTCCTTCCAAAATGGAAGGAATTCATTTCTAGACATCCTTGGCAGGAGCTCAGAACTGTTTTATGCAGGCTCCATGCTGGTAAAATAGATATTTTTTGATATCCTACTTTTGGTTGAGCCGTGGTAATGTTGGCAATGGTGGTGAGAGCAGGAAATCAAGTCATTTTTCAAAGTTCTAAGTAAATGATGTTCTTGTAAGATCAATATGAGACAATTAAAGACTAAAACAAAGGTTATCACAAGGCCAACATCTATAAGTTAGACCTTTTTTTTGTCCCTAAGGTCAGTGGTTCTCAAATTTTAACCCATGTAAGAATCGCCTGGAAGTCTTGTTAAACACAGGCTTCTGGCTGGGCACAATGGCTCACACCTGTAATCCCAGCACTTTGGGAGACTGAGGTGGGTGGATCACCTGAGGTCAGGAGTTTGAGAACAGCCAAGCAAATATGGTGAAACCTCATCACTACTAAAAATACAGAAGTTAGCATGCACCTGTAATCCTGCACCAGGTGTAATCCGCCACCTGGTAATCCCAGCTATTTAGGAGGCTGAGGTAGGAGAATCGCTTGAACCCTGGAGGCGGAGGTTGCAATGAGCTGAGATTGCGTCACTGCACTCCAACCTGGGTAACAGAGTGAGACCTTGTCTCAAAAAACAAGAAAACCCACAGACTTCTGGCCCCACTCCCAGAGTTCCAGGGGTTGGAGAGTATGCAGGGGGAAGATTTTTCCTTTCTAAGAAGTCCCCAAGTCATACTGATACTGCTGGTCCAGGGACCCTACTTTAAGAACTACCAGTCCTCAAGGAACCTTCACAGTAAGTGTCTGTAATGAATCCAAGCAATGAAAACTTCAGTGAATTAGACTTCAACAGAATTACTTCGACTTTGTTTTGATAAAGTCTATAGACATTTTTGTTTAATGCTGAATACATATGCATTATCTCCACCTAGGCATCGAGTAAATGTTCTTTGAGGTACTGATCTAATGAGAATACTGGTGGATATAAATGCTCTTCCATTTGCATTTTAATTATTTGAGAACTAATGTTCACAGATTTGCTCCCCAGTGCTCTAATCATTTCCTCTATTATTCAATGATTATCAAAGCATGTCATTAATCAAATAAACCAACACAAAATGTTTTATGATGTGAAGAAAGTAGAGTCTCAAAGAATGTATCTCACAACCTTGGAGAAAATAAATAGAAACCTAGAACTGCTTCACTGAACTATCAGTGATGATTTATTGAACGCCTCAAGAGGAAGTAAAAAGCTACATTTGCATCATTTCTGTATTTGATCAGCCATTGCTTACCTGACTTGTTCTTAGGCTGCCTTAGATTCTGAACTGGCTTCCCTTTAAGCTTTTTCATAAACAAATCACTGGAAATATCTCTAAGGAGGGGAGAGGCCAGTTCCTCCTTGAGGCTGGTAGTGAGGTTGCTTTCACTCAGCCCAGAGGGCGCATTGTTACAAGTGTGGAACTTGTTGCTGGGAGCCCTCCCCTGGCAGCTCACTATGGTTCTGAGGCTCTGAGGATCGTCAGGACCCACCTGGGCACGGTCGCCTTCAGGGATAGACCATCTCACAGGTATTAAAGGCAACATTCAGTGGTTTTCCGGGTTTCTCTCTTTCACTTTCCTTTGTCCTATTGCTCTGAGTTTCCCTTGTTTTGCTGGTCTCTTCAGGTCTCATTAAAATTAATGAATCATTAATCTACAATGGTTTAATAATTTCTAGTACAGTGAGATGGCTTCCCCAACAGAGTGGGTGGGCATTTGCTGGATTCTCTTGGAAGATCAAAGGCTGGTGAATTTTCTTTACAATGACCATGTATTGATTTCCTCTTTTAAACATAAAGCAGAAGAGTTAGCATGAAGGGATCTACTGTGAACTTCTATTCTACCAGACCCACTGAGCCTAGTCATTTAGGGAGTGCCTCCCAGGAGCCTTGGCCATTATCTCATTTAACTTCTGCAACAAGCCTGTAAGGGAGGTTCTTTAATGCCCTCTTGGTAAATGCTGCACAGATGTTGGCAGAGGAGAAGTGGCTTGTCCTAGGTCACACAGCCAGTTGGCAGTGAGACTGGAAGAGAAACCACATCCATTTACTCTGGTGCTTGAGCTCTTCCTGCCTCTCTGCAAATCACCTCCCAAAGCCCTGCTGTTTTTAAAGTTTCTCCATTTCTGCAATGAGTTATGCCAGCAGTTACTATTGCCTTGGTTCCAATGTTTAACCCAGTGGCTAATAAATAATACTTACCTATGTGTATCTTATTGGCCATACATAACTTCCTACCAGCAGCTACAATCCTGTGTCTGAAATGACTAGAAAGAAAACCCAAAGCTGTATCCTAATCCCTCAAAAGAGGAGAGAAAAAGGCCAAAAGGACAGAGGGGAAACCCAAAGACTAAGAAATCTGATCTATTATGCAAGTGCCTATGCAAATATACTGAATTCCTTTAACATTGTTGCACCTAGAATTTGGACAGTCTTCTAGAGGAGAAAAATAATGGAATCGCCCTGAGTGTATATATCCATGAAAGTCCCTATTGATTCAAAATTAGCTGGGTGTGGTGGTGAGCATCTGTAGTCCCAGCTACTCAGGAGTTCTGCAGCGGGAGGATTCTGTGAGGCTAGGGGTTTGAGGTTACAGTGTGCTATGATCACGCCACTGCACTCAGCCTGGGCAACAGAGCCAGACCCCATCTCCAAAAAAAAAAAAGAAAAAAAAAAGAAAGAAAGTACCTATAGATTTCATGCTCAGTCCATCATTTGTTTGTTGGGAGAATGAAGAACTTGGTGTACTTGTCTATGGCAACCACTCTCTCCTCTTTGTTTCTTTTAATCTGTGTCAGTCATAGAATCCAACAAGCTTCTGAATAGAGAATTATAGGCTGTTAGATCTATTCCTATCAGTAAAGAGGAGAAACTCAGTCATGACAATGCTCCATGAAGCAACAATGTACCTTATTTTGTCGATGGTCAGGAAGGACCATTTCATGCCTCTCCAGCAATGTTAGTATCAACCTTTAGAGCAGCACCCAGGAATTACCAATCTAAAAGCAAAACTAATACAGTTTCACCTTACCTGAACGTAAGTTTCCTAAACTGGCATTGCCTTCTTTCCTTCATTCTGCAAAAAAGGGTGCCTCATGCATGTTAGTTCTACATGTGAAGTTCTGTAACAGCTGAGCCCTCAACTCAAAGCAAATCCAACATTAAGAATTTTAGATTTCTTTCGTGAATAAGAGTTGAACTGACTTTAGTTTGCATCTAAGTAATTCCTCAAACAACTCACCAGTCTAAAATCCAGTACCTGTTAGTTTCATTTGGCCTTTAAAAAAAAGTATAGAGATGCAGTCTCACTATGTTGCCCAGGCTAGTCTTGAACTCCTTGGCTCAAGTGATCCATCTTTGCCCCAAAGTGCTAGTATTACATTCATGAGCCTCTGTGCCTGGCCTTATTTGACCTTAAACAATGTAAGAGTCAGGGAGTAAAATAAGAGATCACAAAGTCCCCACAATCAATGTCACAACATTGTCATGACTGAGTTTCTCCTCTTTACTGATAGGAATAGATCTAACAGCCTATAATTCTCTATTCAGAAGCTTGTTGGATTCTATGACTGACACAGATTAAAAGAAACAAAGAGGAGAGAGTGGTTGCCATAGACAAGTACACAAAGCATAGAGAGAAGTAAGAAATAAAAATTAGGGAGTACATCAGTGTGGGGCCATTTGGTGTGGGAGTGAATATTTAGATGCTATAAAAACCTGTAACAATTATTGTATTCTCTACAGAACTACAGAAAACATAGTAATAATCACTGTATTTTGACAAAGTACCATGAATAATAGTCAACAGAATGAGATCAGTTTATGAGGGAAAGGTTTATTGGTTTTCAGCTTTCTCTATATCAAGTTGAAGATGCAAATAATACACTGTGGAAAAGTTCTACTAAAGTGGTTCCTCAAACAACTCACGAATACTGTCCATCCAATTAAAATTATAAGAAGTAAATTATTAGCCATTCTTAAATTTTGGCGATCCAAATGTGGCCAAAGGGTTTCAGATTGCTGAGTTCTGCTTTAGGACTATAAACTCACTAAAACTATTATTGATAATCTTAGAATATATGGTCAACTACTAATGTTCCATCCACAAACATCCACGCACAGTCTGAAGCCATCTTCCATGCCATCTGGGGCAAGGGAAAATGGGTCTCTCGCCTGTCCCACAGTCCCATGCCTTGGTCTGTAAATCATCAAGCATCAACTCTCATGCAATAAGTGATGTGTAAGGATTGATATTTTCCCACATATACCTTTGGGAAGGTACAGAATAATGGAACTGCAGTAAGTCACTCCCATGAATCAAGCTGTGAAATAGAAGAGTTGGCTTTTCTTGAGCATGAGAAGAGATACTTCTGCATGCATGAATCACAGAAAACGCCTCCATGAATAGTAGGTTGCCTGGTGACATCTTGATTTTTCTTTTCAAACTTGCAAGTCATTTTTCCAAAATGTAAAGATCAATAGGATCTAAAATAAAGACAATGCCAGATACTTTACATTGGTTACCTTCAAAGCTTGTCTCACTCTGTAATTTAAACCTTGAGAGAAGAAAGCCTTGTTTTCCTTGTTCTTGTATCCCTGGGATGCACCAAAGTACGTCCTTACATACGTAAATGTAGATGATAAGGAGGATTTAATGTATATTTGATTCTCTTAAAATGAAATCACAAGGAGAGGAACTGTGTGGTTTCCAAGAAGTATCTTTTTTTTTTAATTGCATTTTAGGTTTTGGGGTACATGTGCAGAACATGCAAGACATTTGCATAGGTACACACATGGCAGTGTGTTTTGCTGCCTTCCTCCCCTTCACCCACATTTGGCAAGAAGTATCTTAAGTTACCAAAGTTGTTTTGTTTGTTTGTTTGTTTTTGTTTTGTTTTGAAACAGAGTTTCCCTCTTGTTGCCCAGGCTGGAGTGCAATGGCATGCCCCCTCAGCTCACTGCAACCTCCGCCTCCCAGGTTCAAGTGATTCTCCTGCCTCAGCCTCCCAAGTAGCTGGGATTACACCAGCTGCCACATTGTCCCACTAATTTTTTTGTATTTTTAGTAGAGACAGGGTTTCACCATGTTTAAAGTCTTTTTTGTTTGAACCTGGAAGGAATATTAAGTAGACAGTAAACAGATTTCAATATGCTATTTAGATGAGAAGGCTGAAGTTACATATATTAATATCTTCTGAATGTAAAGGATGCTGATGTGAACTGAGCCCTATCTCCTATGAGAATTAGAAGTTGTCCTTTGAAATTTTAGACCTTTTTTTCTCACCAGAGTCTCCCTCATTTGCTACAGATTCCACAGTCTGCTCTTCCTCACTAAAGATGCGACAACCTGCTTGAAATTCTCTGGAAAAGGACAAAGAACTGCTAGAGGCAGTGTGATGCTTGGATGCAGAAATTGAGCAACCTCCATGTGATCCAGAGAACAGCGACTCAGATGTCTTCTGGAACCTTCTACCAACGGGTCCTCTTAGCTTTATGGAGAAAACAGAGTCACTCTGTCCAGAGGTGCCAGCCCGAGGCTGCAGAGCCTTTCCTGGGCATCTGCTGAGGAGCCTGCCAAAACAGCACTGTGAGAACCAGGGGAGTCTCCTCCAGTTTGACCGGCAAGCCCCAGGCTGCATCTCCACCTCGCCCACTTTGAGGAGATTAAGGAACCGGGGCTGTGGGGCTTGGCACTCACTGCCTCAACAAGATGCCTTGCAGGTGCTCACCTGGGAAGGCTGGAGAGAGCCTGCAGGCTCCCTGTGTTACCTTTCCAAGAGGCTGCTAGGAAGCCCAAAAGATCCTTCGTACTTGCTGTCACCCTTGGGACTGTGCTCAAGATTGACCCCTGAACCTGAAAGGGCCCTGAACACAGCTGACTCACTGGAACCCCAAACCCGGCCCACTGACCAGTATGTCCCTCTCGAGCTTCAGCCTGTTAATGAAGGGTCCCTTCAACAGGTCTCTCTTCTGCAGCAAGAAAGTCACTTTTTGCCCAGCCCCACCCCACGGTGCCCTAGTCCTCAGGTAACACAGCTGTAAACCTCCCACCTCTCAGTTGGCTAACCACAGAGCAAAATAGGTCTCAGAGCTGCTTCTTTCCCCCAGGGGCCAGGAGATCCTAAGAAAGGAGACAGCACAGGAAGCCACACTGAGGGGACACATTCTCTTTAGGAAACATTGGCTCTGAAGTGAAAGGAGGGCAGCAATTTGGGGAAGAAAGAAAATAATCTTGCTCACTTTCTTCTGTCCCTGGAGGCACTTTAAGAAAGGACTCACCAGCTGGGCTCAGTGGCTCGCATCTGTAATCCAAGCACTTTGGGAAGTCAAGGCGGGTGGATCACCTGAGGTCGGGTGTTCAAGACCAGCCTGACCAACATGGAGAAACCCTGTCTGTACTAAAAATACAAAATTAGCCAGGCGTGGTGGTGGGTGCCTGTAATCCCAGCTACTCGGGAGGGTGAGGCAGGAGAATCACTTGAACCCAAGAGGCAGAGGTTGTAGTGAGCTGAGATAGCACCATTGCACTCCAGCCTGGGCAATGAGAGCGAAACTTCCTCTCAAAAAAAGGAATAAAGGAAGGAAGGAAGAAAAGAAGGGAGGGAGGAAGGGAGGGAGGGAGGGAAGGAGGATCAAGGCCAGGCAACCGATGGTCTGTCAGGCAGCAGATAGCAATGGGGGACTTCTTGCAAATGCACACTATTTAAAGACAATGTGGTGTCACTGATTTAAAAGGGGAGAAAGAGCCAGTTATTCAAATTTCCAGTCCCACCAAAATGTAAAACATTTTTAACTAAGAGGGTTCTTTGTTTCTCCTTTCAACATGTTTGCTTTGGAGTTGGGGATGGGTTTGAGCCAAACTAAAGCATATATTCTTAAAATTTATTTCAGGGAGAAGAATTGTACCCATCCAGGTGTGTATGCATTTATGTTCTCTGGTGCTATGACATCTGTTGACTATTACATCTTTATTTCTGTCCTGACATAACAAAGCTGATGGTGTGTAGCGCACTTTGTTTTACAGCCCTCAAGTCACTCTTCACATTTATAGGTGCAAAAGTTTTGATTTCAAGAATCTCCCTTTAAGAGCACAGCATGTGGGGGCAGGATATGACATCCACATGCAGCTGTAGTTTTCATTTTGAATTGTCAATGTCTTAGCCCTGTGGCTTAATTAACATGCACTTAGTAACAGGTTTTGTCTGGTAGAGAAAAATAGAAAGGCCAGAGATATTCAACAGCTTTTCAAAAAAAATTTAGAGGACAAAAAATTAAAGGAACACATGTCCTGATTAAATCTAGGGTGACCTTTAAAATACCCATTATGTTAGACTGTGCCCTTACCCAGAATGAAGTAGACTGTGTCATTTCCAAAACCAGCTCTGAACTTTCAACGTGGCCCCCTGGTTGTAGCAATGGATCTGCCATCCTTGACAGGGATGAAGAGTTCTGTGGCCGCAGGGAAAAACCCATACCCAATTTCATTGTTCTGACTTGCAGGATTGGCAGGAAACCCCTCATTTCATTTGAAAAGTCACAGAAGATTTTTTTTTTTTTTTTGGAGAAAGAGCCACTGCTTTATTACTGGACCTCCATCCTCAAGCAATAGTTTGCTGTTCATAGGTAAGGATACCATCCATGCTGTGTAAGGATACCATCCATGTACACATTCTTTGTTGATTTTAACCCTCAGTGACCTAACCGTGTCAACAAAGGTAGAAGATACTTACAAAGCCATAGGAAAATGTAAATTGTTATGTTTGTGTATTAGTTAGCTATTGCTAGATAACAGACCACTTAAAGTAACAGACAGTTACTGTTTCTTATAAACCTATGTGTCCCCTGGGGGTGAGTTGCTCTAGGCTGGATTTAGCTGAGCAGTTCCACTCCAGATGTCCCTTATCCTGCTCATGGGATCTAAGAACTCCCATGGGTCCATGGGATCAATTGAGCAGATTCTTTATACAGTGAGGGGAGAAGTTCAAGAGGACAAGTAGAAACATGCAAGGCTTCTTGGGGCCTGGGCTCTGAATCTGGTCTAATTTTATTGGCCAAAGTAAGTCACTCAGTTGAACTCAGTGTCAGGGAATTACATGTTACCAACAATGGAAGAGCATTGTAGTGCTACATGGCAAAGTGTATAGATTGTAGTGTTACATGGAAAAGCATTGGAGAAGAGTGGGGCTCTTAGTGTAAATCTTCCATACATGTGAAACAGAATTAAGCTCTAAGATGAGATCTAGTTCAGTTGTGTCAAAGAGAAGTGAAAAAGAGTAGTCTTAGAAAAAAATGATATGTATAGAGTTGGATTATTTTAATAGAATGTTGAGAAATTTTATTCCTTACCCTAAGAGCAGTGTGAAACCATTTAATGAATTGATGTGATCAGATGGATGTCAGTTATACTTGGAATTTAGGTGCAAGCAGACTTAAGTCAAATAATTAGAATGGTCAGGTATGAGAAGCTTGTGAGACTATAATGAAGGCAGTGGAGTTAAAAAGTATCTCAGTGCAAGAGATATTTAGGAGATACAATCCCCCAGACTTTGTGAGTGGTAGCCTCTTAGGGGTGAGGGAAAGAAATCTTCAAGAATGACCTCCAAGCTTCTGGCTTATACAATTGGGTAACCAAGGTTTCCATTCACTGACCTAGATAAACTTGGGTGAGGAAATGAAATATGGTGGTTGGGGTATAGGTCTTGAGTTCACGTTTGTACATGTTGAGTTTGAGGACCTATGAAATATCTTAGTGGATATTTTGAGTAAATAATTGCTTAGAGAAGGCATCAGGGATGGATATACTATATGCATATTTGTGAGTCTTAAATCAAGGAATGTTTCCTAGAAAGGTAAAATCTGGGTCCAGCTCTGATTATTAGATGGAGCCAGCAGACATTGAGGCAAATCAATGGCATGCATCAAGCCATTTGCAAAAAATGACATGAAGGTAATTTCCATTGCCATATGGAATATTTGTGAGGAAATAACAAAAATACTTGGCAAATTTTAAAAGATCAGCTAGGTCAGGCCAGGCATGGTGGCTCATCCCTCTAATCCCAGCACTTTGGGAGGCCCAGGCAGGCAGATCACTTAAGGTCAGGAGTTCAGGACCAGGCTGGACAACATGGTGAAACCTCCTTTCTACTAAAAATATACTTTTTTTAAAAAAATTAGCTGGACATTGTGTCAGGAACCTGTAACTCCCTTCTTAGCCTGTTGTCTTAAAGGTAGGAGGAGCCCAAAGCGTCCAGGTGGCAATCTTAGCTTCCAGTTTAATGAAATCATTGTTGTGTTTCCTGGTGGCAGCATTCCTCCCTCTGGAACCTCTAGGCCAGCAGAACGTAATGTTGCAAGAACAGGAAGCAAAAATTTGGCTAGTGGGTCACTAGAAGTGATGGTGAATGGTGCCACTTCCACTTTCACCCCTTGATTCCTGAACTCACAGAGAATCCTGGCTATGAGAGAAACAGTACCATATATTGGACGCTTATTTAGAGCATACATGGCCTTCAGGAGAAGTTTGCCCCAGCCCTGCAAAGTATTGTCACCTAGTTGGTATTATAATTGTGACTTCAGAAGGCCATTCCACCATTCTGTCAATCCAGCCTCTTCAGGATAATGGGGAACACAGTAAGACTAGTGAATTCCGTGAGCACGAGCCCACTGCCACACTTGCTTGTGCCATAAAGTGAGTGCTTTGGTCAGAGGCAATGCTGTTTGGAATACCACACAAATGTCTCACCAATAAGTCAAGTGTGTTTGCGACTTCTTGCTCACTGCATTCAATCAGCATAATGTCATCAGTGTAATGAACCAGTGTGATATCAAGCAGTTCTTCTCAAGTGTAGGACACCTTTTCATGGGTCACTCTCTCAACCTCACCTCTAGGGGCCCACTAGGACTTTAGCCCAGTTACAGGTCTAAAAGCAAACAGGGGTGTTGGGGGTGGCTCCTGAGGAGAATCAACATTATCTTCCTGCTGGCAGGGCTTATCTCCTCAGACAAAGGTGGAAAGGCTGCGGATGGCAGTGTGGGTCAGGGAGGGGATGTTGTTGCTACTGGGGATGGGGAAGCTATTTCTTTTGGCAAATATGGTTCATCAGAGTTTACAAACTGAGTGTCTCCGGCTTCATCAGGGTCCTTCTGCACATCCCCATTCCAAGTTGCAGGATCCCATTCTTTTCCAATAATGCCTTCATGTTAATAGTAGGCACCTGGTGAGGCTGTGCATGCACCTTTCACTGCAGGTCAGCCACTCACGTAAGAGCTTGTGTCTGTTTTTCCACAACTTCAGCTCTTTCTATACAGGAGATAAGACTCACTGAGGGTAATCTTAGCAGATTTGAGGCTCGGTACCTGCTTCCGAAGCTGGGAATTAGAATCCCTGAGTTTCCTATTTTCTCTCCTCACTTTGTCCACTGAACTTAGGAGCAACCAACCAGCTTCATTATGTTCCCTGGTTCTCCACATATGGTCAAAGGTAATATGTACAGAGTCACTAACCTCCTTGCCTCTCACGGGCGGTGAATCAGGATTGTCAAATGCATTTGTTTTGCATAACTCTCTAAATAATTCATGCCAAGGACTATCAGTGTTCTCCATACTATTAGAAATAGAGTCCTTAGCATTTTGGGGTCTAATCATATGAAGCAGCCAACTCTAGAAACCCCAAAAGCAATGAAAGAACTCCATCCTTAATACTCTGTTCTTCTAAAACCACTTCTGGTACCAAAATCTGTATTAGTCAGGGTTCCCTAGAGGGACAGAACTAATAGAAAAAAAAAAAATATATATATATATATATATATAATTTATAATAAACTATAATAAAAATATAAATTATAAAAAATATAATATATATATTTGTAATAAACTCCCCTTTATTTATATATGTTATATAAATAAATATGTAAATAATATATAATATATATAAATAAAGGGGAGTTTATTAAGTATTAGCTCACATGGTCGCAAGGTCCCACAATAGGCCATCTGTAGGCTGAGGAGCAAGGAGAACCCATCCAAGTTCCAAGCTGAAGAACCTGGAGTCCAGTGTTCAAGGGCCAGAAAGATCCAGCATGGAACAAAGATGTAGGCTGGGAGGACAGGCCAGTCTCAAATCTTCATGTTTTTCTGCCTGCTTTATATTCACTGGCAGCTGATGAGATGGCGCCCACCCAGATGAAGGGTGGCTCTGCCTTCCCCAGTCCACTGACTCAAATGTTAATCTCCTTTGGCAACAGCCTCACAGATACACCCAGGACCAATACTTTGACACATCTGAGATCTGTCTCTCTTTACTCCCCCTTCTCTTCTTCCACATGTCTCTGTAGTCTTTTCTGCAGCAGCCATTTGTTAGAAGAGCCCACTTCCTCTGAACAGCTGTTTGCCAGGCTGCATTGCATGGTCATGTAATGTTAGGTGAAGAGTGAAGAATTCTGCATGAGGCCCCACTCCCTATGCAAGAGCAAGGGTTCCTGCCTTAAAAAAAAAAAAAAAAAAAAAAAAAAAAAACAGGCCTATCAAATGGTATAAACTAGGATTTAGCAAACTATGGCCCATGGCCAAGATTGAGTCTATCACCTATTTCTGTAAATAAACCTTTATTGGAACACATCCACGCCCACTCATCTGTGCATTGTCTGTGGGTGTTTAGCACTGTAATGGCAGAGTTGAGTGGTTGCAACAGAGGCTACATGGCCCACAAAGCCTAAAATGTTTACTATCTGGCCCTTTATAGAAAAGGTGTGCTGAGCCCTGGCCTATACAATTAAGAAATGTTTTCCTCTGTGGCTTCCAATCACGGCAAAAATTTTTTGCCTTCCGGAATAGACATAAAACCTTTTTCAAAAACACTGATTCTTCTATTATAGTGGTTTGGCGGGGCAGGTTTTGAGACAAAATCTTGCTCTGTCACCCAAGCTGGAGTGCAGTGGCGTGATCTCAGCTCACTGCAATCTTCACCTCCTGGGTTCAAGTGATTCTCTTGTTTCAGCCTCCTGAGTAGGTGGGAGTACAGGTGTGCACCACCCACCCGGCTAATTTTTGTGTGTTTAGTAGAGACAGGATTTCGCCAGGGTGGCCAGGCTGGCTTCAAACTCCTGGCCTCAAGTTGCCTGCCCACCTCAGCCTCCATAGTGCTAGAATTACAGGCATTGTAGTGTTTTAACATGTAACCTGACAGTGTGTAAGTGAGAAGTATCCAATATACTTGTAGTTCTGAAATCAGCTAACTGGTAAACCTTTGCTGTCAGGTTTTTCTTTGTGAACTCTTTTTGCCCCCATCCCTCTCTCACTCTGTAACATTTGAGTGAACTCATTCTCATTTCAAGCCTTCCTCTCTTATCACTAGAATATGGTACTTGGGAAAAGAATCTTCACATTTCGTTCTTACTCAAGTGTGAGGGAATTTAGCCTTAACGGAAATATGCTCTCATCTTTCCAAGGACAGCCAGTACATTTCTCCCTTTTGGGTTTCCCCGCATCCTAGAAATGTCTCTGTCATAATATCTAAAACACTATATTGTGTTTCTTTTACATTCATCTGCCCCTGAGACTCTAAACCTTCCTGAGAGCAGAGACTGCTTCTTATTTATCTTTGAACCTCTAGCATCCAGTACCCAGAAAGAGTCTACTTCCAAAAAGATGAATGGAAGAAGGAAGACAGGCAGGTTGGCAGGCTTCTTGGATTACAGTGTCACCTACCTACCTCCGGTGTATTTGCATTTTAACAAAAGACAGTGAAGCTGTGTTGGTGGAATCTTAAACATCAGAAGGAAGTGAGGGAGATGATTTTGTGGGTAGGGAAACCTTCCTAGCATCGCTTAAATTTTGTATTCACAGGAAGTTGTCCATCTCACCTAGTTTTCAGGTCAGCCCTGAAACTGAGAAAAGAAACATACGTGCTACATTTCTATAAGAGTACAGACTAACCTTCCAGTGCCCAAATAGAAAGTAGGAGAAAAGTGAAATCTTTGCATGTTAGCCAGTGGGGCAACATTAGCATGAAAGCCAAATGATGAGGTATTTGAAAGTCTGTCTTGAGGGGAAAAGCAAACAAACAAACAAAAGTATTAAATGCCAGGAAAACTTCCTCCGAAGTCAATTCATCTGGGGTTACCATTAGGGGTCAGCAGGACAGGGAGTTAAAATCTACTCGAATCAAACTCCCTGAATTTGAATCCTAGCTCCACTTCTCTGTGGCAACACGATCTTGCATGATTTCCTTAACCGCTCAAAACTTTAAAGTTTTTCTCCCTGAAGTGGAGATACAAATACAGTCACGCGCTGCATTCATGATGTTTTAGTCAACAATGGGCCTCATGGGTGACCGTGGTCCCATGAGATTATAATAACGTAGTTTCACTTACCTAGTCTATGTTTAGATACACAAACACTTCCCATTGCGTTACAGCTGCCTACATTATTCAGTACAATAACATGACATACGTGTTTGTATCCTGGGAACTACCGTTTGTATCCTGGGACTCCTGACAGACCAGGTATATTGTAGGCTACACACCATCGAGGTCTGTGTAAGTTCACTCTGTGATGTTCACACAATGACAAAGTTGCCTGAGGATGCATTTCTCAAAATGTATCCCCATCATTAAGCAATGCACATCTGTAGTGTTCATCTCACAGGTCTTTCTTTTGGACTGGTTAAATAATATAACTCAAATAGTAGCCATGGTTATTGTTAGAGAAACCATTCATCCAGCGCTTTCCACATGTAACTCGTTGACTTATTTTTTCTAAAATATTCTAACCTCTGAGTCAATATTCTAACATCAGGAACACCAGATGTAATGTATCTGTCCTTTAGGTTCAATATGATACAATATTATACCCCACATACTTTTATTTAAACCCCTTATGTCCCTAGCACTGTCTGTTAATACTCTAGAACATACAGGAGGAGAAGACTGTCAGCTTCTTCAGGGCTTTTCAGCTTGTTGGACAGGATTCAGAGAGTCACAGGCAGTGTGTTATTAGTGTCCATTACTCAAAAGAGAAGACTGTAGCCCAGGGAGCCTTTCTGATATGGGCACGGTGGAAGGGGAACCACGTGCCATTCTCCCACCAGCATCAGCTCATCTATTAGTTGGTGCAAAAGTAATTATGGGTTTTGCCATTATGTTTAATTGTGGCAAAAAAAAAAAATGCAATTACATTTGCACCAACCTAATAAAATGTAACTTCCAGGAAAGTAGGATTTGCATCTGTTTTGTTTATTGCCTTATCCCCGGTACCTAGAACACTGCCTGGCACATAAATGTTTAATGTTTGTCCAATAAATGTTTCAGGAAGGAAAAAGAAAAGAAAAAGGAAGTCAATTCGTAGTCAGGTTTGAACATACCTTTTAGGAGAAATTGTATGGTCCCCTTTTGTTTTGTGTATTTTCTCCTCCAACTATTTATTTGGCTCCCTCCAGCTCCTTTTGACCTCCTTGACCTTTCTTATTGTTTTGTGCTTGTCTGTGTAGAAATCCCCACAAACCCCCTGGGGATTTGGGGGTTTGTATAAATATTGCTTGATCCCACAATCAGGAGTGTGTTGACTTGTCCAGAAAAGACGGTAACCTAGAAAGCAGGTGAGATTTCTGGGCAGTTACCAGCAGTTACCCTGGTGCTCTGAACACATGTGCTCAAAAACTATTACTGATTTGACCCCACAGCCACAGTCCTTGGTGGTTCTCACACACTGATGAGACTCTTAAGAGGCATCTCTGTTCTGTGTTCAAACTGATATATAGGGCACGAGTCTTCCATTTGTTCCCTCCGCATTTATGAGAAATAGCCATCATGGTACTGGCTTCTGGGTGGTAAACCAGTAGCTCCTCATCCCGTCTACCTTCTCATTTGCATTTGCAACAAATGGAATGCTTTGATAGAAAGTTGAATTGGAAACCACAGTCAAACATACAAAAGCCCATTCCCAACAACTTTTTGGGCTCACAATGGAAAAATATATCCCAGATTTAACCAAGAGAGCTGTAGTTCAATAACTGGCAGCCAAGTTGTCATTTCTCTTTTGATTATTTTAAAAAGAGATTTTTAGAAAAAGTTTGTTACTGATGCTTAATTTGCTCTTCCTGTGTAATCAACTCATAGTTATAGGCAAGCATTCCAAATTGCACTATATTTCTTGCATAGGGTAAAACATTATGATTCTTAAAATGGAATGCCTACTTTTTCTAGACACACAATTGCTGAAAAGCTGCCTGCTGAAAAGGACTACATTTACCATGAACTTTTACTACCAGACAAGGACTATAGTTTCTGATGAATAGGGTCTGATAAGGCTGCCTGATTAAAAAAAAAATCACTGGACAACATTTGTAGCAAAGGAAAAGATATGACTATGCCTTAACCAAGTTGCAGTGCCTTCAGTAAGATTTTTATTCCTTTAAGATACACATATCACTAAAGGGCAATGGTACTCACATATTCTCTAGCCTTTGTTATTATTTTTTCTTAAAATTTGCACTTGGGAATTACGACCAGTAGTCATTGGTTTAAGTCTGTTGCACAGAAGGAATCTTTTAAACATGTAAATAATCTATTATTCATATTTCTAAAAGGGGAGCTTTGAATTCATCATCTTCAAACATTTCTGCCAAGATAAAGGTAATCACACAATTCCTGTCCACACCTACTGGCCACAGAAGGAGAGACAGAGAACGATGCTCCTGGATCTCACACTTGAGAATGAAGGATGCAGACAGCCTCACGCTGCACACTTGCTTTCCACAGAAGGAAACAGCAGTCCAGGGAAACAACAGGCCAGGGTCACTGTTGGGAATCCAGGTCCTAAGCTGGGTGCCCTTGCCATTCAATGAGATTGTCCCATATTTGTTTCCCTTGGCTGCTATGATAAATTACCATAAATCAGGTGGCTTAAAACAAAAGAAATTTATCCTCTTTTCATTCTGGAAACCAGAAGTCTGAAATCACAGTTTGGGCAGAGCCGCTCTTCCCCTGAAATCTCTAGGGGAGGACTTTCGCTTGCTTTTTTGTACAGGTGTTCCTTGACTTATGGCTGCCCTACTTTAATTTCTGTCTGTCCATCTTCACATGCCCTTCTCTCTTTGCTGTGTCTCTTCTCTTAGTATCTTTTTTTTTTTTTTTTTTTTTGAGACAGAGTCTCACCCTGTCACCCAGGTGGGAGTGCAATGGCACAATCTCAGCTCACTGCAACCTCTGCCTCTCGGGTTCAAGCGATTCTCCTGCCTCAGCCTCCTGAGAATCTGGTGCATGCGTGCACCACCATGCCCAGCTAATTTTGTATATTTTTGGTAGAGATTGGGTCTCACGATGTTGGCCAGGTTGGTCTCAAGCTCCTGACTTCAGGTGATCCATCTGCCTTGGCCTCCCAAAGTGCTGGGATTACAGGCATGAGCCACTGAGCCCGGCCTCTTACTGTCTTTTACAAGGACACTTGTGGTTGTATTTAGGGCCCACTCTGACAATCCAGAATAATCTCATCTCTAGATCCTTAATTTAATTATATCTGCTAAGACCCTTTTTACAAATAAGGTCACATGCACATGTTCCAGGGTGGATGTGGATATATCTTTTTTGGGGGGGGCCACCATTCAAACCATTATACCCCACTCTTTTTCCTGAAACAGTAAACATCATCACATCCTTTTAAAAACTTTGTTATGCTTTAAAATACTAGTATATTTTTCTCTTCTTCCCATTTACAAGCCTTTTTGGAGTCAGACCTGCATATTTAAATTTCTTTTTTGTCTTTTTTGAGACAGAGTCTCACTCTGTCATAGACTGGAGTGCAGTGGCGCAATCTCAGCTCACTGCAACCTCCACCTCCCAGGTTCAAGCAATTCTCCTGCCTCAGACTCCCGAGTAGCTGGGACTACAGGTGCCTGCCACCACGCCCAGCTAATTTTTCTGTATTTTTAGGAGATGGGGTTTCACCAAGTTGGCCAGGTTAGTCCCAATCTCTTGACCTCATGATCCACCCGCCTCAGCCTCCCAAAGTTGCTGGTATTACAGGCATGAGCCACCACGCCCAGCCTACATATTTGAATTTCTAATTCTGGCTCTGTTATTCACTATAACAATGTGACCTTAGTTCCTTATGCATCCCTCTAAGCCTCGGTTTCCTCTGGTCTAAAATGAGTATAGTAATCCACTACATAGGGTGCTTGTGAAAATCAATAGGATAATGCATCTAAAGCGCTTAACAAAGTGTCTGAGACCAATCACTTCTCAGTAAATGTCAGCTGATTTTAAATTAGAATAATATTCACGAAGATCAGTCTATTGCTTACAAAACGTACACATTTGAGAGCTACTGGGGTACCCATTTCCAGCAGCCAGAGACATTTCTGGCACCAGCACATGAGAGCTGCCTCATTGTTGAGTGCTGACGCATGGGCGTCTGGCCTGCTCAGCAGTGGGGTAGGGGAATTCCCAGGATGCTCTGAATTGTTGCTTTCTCAGCCCACACCATGGACCTTCAGATCTTCAGCAGAGCACAGAATAAGGAGACGTTCTGGTACCAGAAGGGAGACGAGATTATTCCAGCAGCCATGGGACTAGTCCCTTCGGATCTGACGAGCTTGGGGCAACGCAACTCAGGGTTAGTGAAAGAGTGGCTGTATTCGGGTTTCTACATGGTGGGTGGGGGTGGGGAAGGCCAGTAGAGGGGTGTCCAGCCCTGGAGAGCTGCAAAGTCCGGGTCAGACACCCAGTTATACAATCTTCTGAGTCCCGAAGCTTGTCCTGAAGCAAAGAACCAGAATAGCAAAACATAAAACCAAAAAAAAAAGCATTTCTCAAGGATATTTGTTTAGTTGTGTTTTTCTAAACAAAGGAAGGGCAGCATGGAGTTATACTGTACTTACATGGTGGCTGTGGGTTGCCAGCAACACCCCAAATAGTTTGCATGTGTTATTAGTTTATTCACTAGCTTAGTCCTCCTGTGAGGAAATCCAGTCTCTAAAAGTACTCCTCCCTGTCTTCTTCACATCAGACACCCCTGCCCCACACAGACACCACTTTGTTAGCTGGAGGGGGATAAGAATTCTGAATTCACTATCATTGTTCCCAGTGGATGATCAATCCAGAATTGGAGACATTGATCCTGCATGAATGCCACGTGTTATTAAAAAACAATCCTAATATTTAGAACAGCTAAATGAAGGTATCAGTTTGGATACACATGCCACCCACCATGAGACCTAAATTCAAAGCCATGCTGAACTCATTGCAGCTATTTGAGTTAATATCATTCATCCAAAGATCTGAGCAGCCCCAGCTGACATGGACCCGGGTCTTTTCTAGAGTGCCCAGAAATCCAGTCCACTGCCAGGCACGGACTCAACATAGAGGCACATTTTCCGCACCAATCCATGTCTCTTCATGATACTGGGTGCAAACGTTCTGATTGCTTTCCTGGGTTTCTGCATGGCTACAATAATAATTCTTGATATTTTTATTAACTCAGGCTGTCTTTTGACTAACAAAATATATTTCATGCCACAGAAATTTTGTTATGCCCTTCCAGAGGCATATTCACATTTCCAGAATAAGCATTCATGGATTTTGAACACCAAGGCAAAAAGCCAAGGTCATGGATCAAGCCATTTATGAGCTGGGTAACTTATCCCTGCTCTGTATGTGCAAATTCAGCTCCAAATTTGATCTTTGTACTCCCAAATGGATGCATGATGTCAGAAGGTATCCGGACAAGAGCAAAATTGATAGGGGTAATGTAACCAACCACTTTTAACTGGGGTAGAGTGAGCACTCAAACTGCATTCTGCTTTTCTGTATGCATATAATTACTCATTTATGTTCCAGAATGAAAAACAAATGCATTTGAGGACTGTCAGTATTTTAATCTATAGGTCAACACGTCTATTTATTTGACAAGCTCATCTGAATACTTGTTCTATGTCAGATTCTATGCTAAGTGATTAGATTCTGTGATATATAAGATCCACTATGAACCATTGATGTATTTATTATAAAGAGACAAGGTAGGAGTGGGGAAGGGAGGGAGAGAAAAAATTGTCCCTCCATGAGTGGGTCAGAAAAGATTTATAGAGAAGGAATATCTAAGCTAGAATTTAAAGATGAATACAAGTTTTTCAGGCAGACAAAGTACAGCTAAGCAGACAGATGGGAACTACCTAAGCCAAGGCATGGAGGCGTGAAGTGCACAGTGTGTTTAAAGAACAGTACACAGCTACCTATTCTTGGAATACACATTCTGTAGGAGTTTGTGTAGGGAAATGGCAATGATCAATCACTCTGAGTATATGTGGGTTTGGTTATTATTCCATTTACTTAACAAATGTTTACTGAGCTCTTACTAAACAGAGGAATTTAGACCAGGAGCTGGAGCTTAGGCTGGTAAAGGAAATAAGACATGAATCTACAAAATGACTTTATAAAGTAAGATACTTCCCATGAGAGAGGATGGATTCATTCATTCATGTTCATCAGCAACAATGGATTAAGTTCTAAAGTAGCACCTACCAACACAAGTGATCATAAGACATGTTTCTTGTACTTAAGGAGCATCAGTCTAGTAGAAAAGACACACAAATAAAACATGATATTATAATATATTCAATAATCAGTCTAATAGCATTCATTGGCTGCTTACCAAGTTCTGGACACTGTTCTAAGTGCTTTATATTGATTAATTTAGTCCAACCACACACAATATTATTATTGTCTGCATTTCCCAAATGGAAAAGTAAGGACCAGAGAGGTTAAGTTGTTCAATGAAGGGTCACACTGCTAAGATTAAACTCCACGAAATTTGACCCCACATTCTTAACCACCACTCCAAAGAACTATAGAAGCAGGGAAGAGAAACACATAAGCCATCCCAGAAGGGGTCAGGGAAGATGAACTATTCTACCCCAAAGGTAGTTACATGCTCTCTGAGGTCTCCAGAGAATAGAAAAGTAGTTTATAGAATCTTGTGAAACTATCAAACTTAATGATACTAGAGTGTATAACTTCTAGAGTTCAAGCTCAAAAGAGTCCATTTTTTCCCAAAAATTCACCTAGATTATATTTCTGATTCAAATGATTGTAATTTTTTCAATCTCTACCCAATTGGGCCTCTTTAGATGCCAAAATCTCATCATGTGCTTCTTAGATTTTTATCAAGAGAACTATACAGTTGATGGGGAAGCTTCTGACATATCAGGGGTCTTCTTTTTCTGAGCTCTCAGCATTTTTTTTTATTGCATTTTAGGTTTTGGGGTACATGTGCAGAGCATGCAATACAGTTGCATAGGTACACACAGGGCAGTGTGTTTTGTTTGCTTTCTCCCCTTCACCCACATTTGGTATTTCTCCCCTGGCAATCCCTCCCCTCCTCCCCCTCCCACTGGCCCTCCCCTTTTCCCCCTATAGACCCCGGTGTTTAGTACTCCCCTCTCTGTGTCCATGTGTTCTCATTTTTCATCACCCGCCTATGAGTGAGAATATGCGGTGTTTCATTTTCTGTTCTTGTGTCAGTTTGCTGAGAATGATGTTCTCCAGATTCATCCATGTCCCTATAAACGACACGAACTCATCATTTCTGAAATCAGAGAGGACACAAACAGATGGAGAAACATTCCATGTTCATGGTTAGGAAGAATTAATATCGTGAAAATGGCTATACTGCCCAAAGTAATTTACAGAATCAACGTTATCCCCATCAAGCTACCATTGACTTTCTTCACAGAACTGGAAAAAACCACCTTGAACTTCATATGGAACCAAAAGAGAGTCCGCATAGCCAAGTCAATTCTAAGCAAAAAGAACACAGCGGGGGGCATCACACTACCGGATTTCAAACTATACTATAAGGCTACAGTAATCAAAACAGCATGGTACTGGTACCAAAACAGAGATATAGATCAATGGAACAGAACAGAGGCATCAGAGGCAACACAACATAGCTACAACCATACAATCTTTGATAAACCTGACAAAAACAAGCAATGGGGAAAGGACTCCCTGTTCAACAAATGGTGTTGGGAAAACTGGCTAGCCATGTGTAGAAAGCAGAAACTGGACCCCTTCCTGACACCTTACACCAAAATTAACTCCAGATGGATTAAAGACTTAAACATAAGACCCAGCGCCATAAAAACCCTAGAAGGAAATCTAGGCAAAACCATCCAGGACATAGGAGTAGGCAAGGACTTCATGAACAAAACACCAAAAGCATTGGCAACAAAAGCCAAAATAGACAAATGGGACCTAATGAAACTCCACAGCTTCTGCACAGCAAAAGAAACAGTCTCTAGTGTGAATCGGCAACCAACAGAATGGGAAAAAATTTTTGCAGTTTACCCATCTGACAAAGGGCTGATATCCAGAATTTACAAAGAACTCAAACAGATTTACAGGAAAAAAACAAACAAGCCCATTCAAAAGTGGTCAAAGGATATGAACAGACACTTTACGAAAGAAGACATATATGAGCTCTCAGCATTTTATGTTAAATAATACCTTCTGAAGACCATTATAAAACTTCCTGGCTGGATTTGTACACTGCTAATCGATTATGTGTCAATCCCAATGTCCTGTATGCAATATGATAAAACTAGAATTATGTTTCTCATTCAAATTATTTTAACTTTCTCAACTTCCACCTAATTAGGTTCCTTCTGTCCTCATAACTATCATGGACATTGAGTTGGCAAACAAAAAAGGAAAGTTGTAAGAAGTCGCAGCCCTAATGATCTTCTTATAAAACCAAATCATAAAGTAGAGAAAAAGTCAAACAGGAGTGTAGTATCCTGAAAGATGGCTTCATTCTTAGAGGAGGAATCCAGGATGAGAGATCGGTGTTAGTAAGGATAGCATTTGTCTGCATGTCACAGATCCCAGCTAGAATGGCCTAGGCAAGTAAAGGGTGGGTTTTCGGTAACATAACCAGATCGCAGGCACCTATTTTTTTATTCTGCTGTTGTGTTTGCAAAAGTTCTGGTATATGCTTGTTTCAAGATCTATTCCAGATAGCAAGGAGGCAAAGGACAAGAGGTAAGCAGAAGAAGCTAATTGAATCTGCCCCTTTTGAAATACTTTTTCCAGAATTCACATGCTTAAGCCTCCATTTAAATCTCATTGGCCAGGTTTGGGTCACATGGCCTTCACTAGCTACAAGAGACTCATAGCAGCTCAGTCTATGACCTCAGCACATACCACCCCAGACAAAGCAGGATTTTAACAGCAAGAAAAGGAAAGAGCATGCACATTCGGTTGGCACCTTATCTATTATTCCAATAACAATGATGACCACATTCTCCTAAAGTTTCCTAATTAAAAAAAAAAACAGTAAAAGAGCAGAGAAAGGGCAGGTGAAATAGATTACAAGATCCCAGGAAATATGGACAATTGAATAAAGCTGAGCCCAATGTCACTTAAGTACTTCCCTTTTGTGCTCCTTAACAGAGAGAATTCCTGGGCCCGAATCTCATAGTATGAGTGGGAGTTAGACTTGGGGAAGGCAGGGAAGAAATAAAACATTACCAGCTAAAGCACCAAGCTGGGAAACACCATTTTGTTTGGGGAATTACAACCCATTCTCTGTTTCCAGAGATCAAATTGTAAAGTAAACAATACTGGGCAGGTAATTGAAACAGATCATGGAAGGCTTGTAGGTATGCTTTAAAATGTGTTAATCTGGTGGAAGCTGAGAATCACCTGAGGTGTCTTAAGCCAGGGAGGGAAGAGTTCAGACTTAAATTTTAGATAACTCACCTTTAGTGGCCATGTATAGGATGGAATCAAGAAGATGAAAGAAAGGGAAGGGGGAGAACCAAGGTAAGAGATGACCATGTTAATACAATCAAAAAATGTTGAGGCCCTGATCTAGTAGAGACATGGAGGATTGCACAAATATGCAAAATTATTTCCTTTGAGTATCACGGGAGACTTTTTGGAGGAAATAGCATTTTATAACTGAAAATAAACTTTATTTTGTGTCTACAGTGTGTATCTAAACAGTCTGAGGCATCCTTTCTTCATGTATTTTGTAGAAAATTATGGGATATAAGTTAACTAATTATAAATTCTGAAATAACTTTTTCTACTATTCATAAGTAAAATGTTTTGAAAAGATTTTGGCAAAGGCTGAAAATGTGAAAATACTCAAAATGTGAAAATACTCAAAACCTAAAGGTAGGAAAGGCCTATATCAAGTTACTTATATCCTCAAAATTAATTGTTCTCCAATTCTGGTGAGTATCCAGAGAGCTGGGTAAAAATACAGATGCAGATGCCCACTTCAGATCTATTAAATCTGAATCTCCACAGTGGGTCTTGGGGATGGGTATTTATAATTAATTCCACAGGATGTGCTAACCTACACCAGTTTTCATCAGCAGCATGATGAACCTAATGGCATAACATGGACTCCAACTTTAGACATATTGATAAGAAAGAGGGCATGGGATCTGAGAATGTGCAATTAAGAGGCAAGAGAAAAAGTGCTGGCTGAAAGGCTCATATAGAAGGTCAGGACCAGAAAAAGTGCTGGCTGAAAGGCTCATATAGAAGGTCAGGCTGCAGAGCCTGTTAGGACTTGAGTAGCAACTAGGTAGGAAAGTGGAAAGAGCAGAGGAAGGACTGTGACAGGGAGACTAACAGGGATGCAAGCACGGTCACTTTTAGGGGTGGGAGGGTGCTAGACAAAATCATAATATCCAAAAGGGTATGACAAACCTGGGCTCTCAACTTTCCAGGCAATTTCATAGTTATGCTTTTGTTGATAAATCAAGACAAATTTGTTTCTATGTAAAGTAACATACATATGCTAACTAATTGTTGGTGAAAATATAGAGATTACATTGGTCAATAAACAGAAGAAATTGCATCTCTCTCTCCCTTAGAACAGACCAAAGGAATATCTGAACAGTTCTGATGAGAAAACTGTGAGTCCCTCTGATTCCATGTTATTAGGAAGGTCCTCAACATGACAGACCCTTTACCACTTTTTCTCCTTAGAGATCACTGAGCAGATGCCTGGTGGCTTTGGCACTGTTCCCCCACTGTGTCTGTGACATCACCCATTTATTTTGTGAACATCCTACAGACACGTTTTATGAAATGGGCCAGGGGAAAGGAGAACGTAGGAGAAAGGAGAGGTCAGGGGAAAGGAGAAGGTAGATAGCCTTGTGTGATAAACTTTTCTAACAGTATTTCTCACTTTTCTCTGGGAAAAGTACAAGTGGCTGACTTTTAACGACCAGCTTCAGATCTGGGTACCATGATAACTCCCATGCATCCTACTGCCTTCTGAGGCAGTGTGCATAATTTGCAAAGACTTCTGTGTTTGAGGTCTTTTTCCTAATATCCTTCTGAGTCAGAACAAGCAGTTTGCATTTGTGTTGACAAGTTGAGGTGCACTCTTCTGCTTTGGATTACTCAAAACCATAACTGGCAAGTAAGGCTCGAAGAGGCGATGAGTAGATGTGTGGGGCATTTGTGTCATCACAGCCCTCCCGTGCCTCCCAATCCTTCCTAACAGAGCAGAAGCAGACAGCTTGCAGCCATTCTGCATGAACAGAGGTTGTCTGAACCATGAACCTGACTAACCCAGCTCTAATATCTCTCCTCGCATCTTTTTAAAAAATGATTTTAATTCAGGGGCATATTTGTTCCATGGGCATATTGCATCATGGAGGAGATCAGGCTTCTAATGTACCCATAATCCAAATATTGAATGTTCTACCCAATAGTTAATTTTGCGACACTTACTCCCTTCCCACCCCACCCCTCCCCACTTTGGGAGTTTATTGTTTCCGTCTTTATGTCTGTGGGTACCCATTGTGTAGTGCCCACTTACAAATGAGAGCATGTGATATTTGATTTTCTGCATCTGGATTAGTTCACTTAGGATAATGGCCTCCAGCTCCATCCATGTTGCTGCAAAGGAAATGATTTTATGCTTTTTCATGGCTGCATGGTATTCTATGGTGTGTGTATGTGTGTTTGTGTGTATATATATGGTGTGTATATATATAGATAGATAAAGAAAATATGGCATATATATGTGTGTGTATATACACATGTGTGTATACATATACATGTATATGTATATATGTGTGTATATTCTATGGTGCATATGTGTGTATATGTGTGTGTATGTATATGTGTGTGTATATATATGTTTGTGTGTATATATGTGTGTATATATACATGTGTGTATATATATGTGTGTGTATGCGTGTGTATATATATACACACACACATATATATACACACCATAGAATATACACACATATAGACACACGTACATGTATATATACACATATATATACCATATTTTCTTTATTTAATCAATCATTAGACATTTAGTTCAGTTCCATGACTTTGTCATGGTGAATAGTGCTGTAATGAACATATGTGTACACGTGTCTTTCTTATATAATGATTTCTTTTCCTTTGGGTAGATACTCAGTAGTGGGATTGTTGGGTTAAATGGTAGTTCTATTTTTAGTTCTTTGAAATATCTCCATACTGTTTTCCATCGAGGTTAATTTACATTCCCAGCAACAGTGTATAAGCATCCCTTTTCTCTACAACCATGCCAACATCTGTTGTTTTTTGACTTTTTAATAATAGCCATTCTGAGTGGTTTAAGATTATATCTCAGTGTGGTTTTCCTTTTATCTCTTGAGCACAGGTTCTGCGAGCACAGGCGAAGTTCTGTGGTGCTGAACTTACCTGGACTTGAGGTGTTCCCCGGGGACCTTCTGGTGTCAGATGGAGCTGCTGACTACCTATGCCACCCACTTCTGCTGCTGAATTCAGGTTCTGTTCATTCAGCATACTTTCATTCCATGCCCACTGTGGAACAGATATTGCCATAACTGGGAGACATTTTCAAAATATTGAATAAGTAGTAGAATATATGCCCTGACCAGTTAGAATCAGCTTCACCAATTACAACAGGCACCAGCTATTGCTGGAATTACTGGAACCAGCTAAGTACCAGCCTTGGTGTTGGACATTCCATTTATAGAGATGAATAAGGCATGGTTCTTCCCTGAAGATGTCTTCTGGCCAAATGTCTTATCCCAGGCCCAAGACCTGAGACAGGTGCAGCATCTAGATCAGAGTGCCCTCCCCAGGCTGGTGAGTAGCGTCCCCATTATTGCTGTCATGTTCATCTCCCATTCCATTCCCAGGCTTCAGCCTCACACTGATATCTTCCAACCGGGGTGGTACCACAGGGAGGCAAAGGTGCCGGTGGCAGATGAGTGTCTGATAGAGAAGCGGCTTTAGGGATAAAGCTTTGCATCTTCGACTTATTTGTGAAATAAAAGAACAATTAGGTGTTCAGATTTTTTTTTTTTTTTTTCAAGATTCTGAGGATAGGTCAATCGAAGCCTCTGAGAGCTAAGAGGAGACTTAAAGATTATCCATGCTGGTAGTTTTTAAACTGGTTTAGTACTTAGCAGAGTCCTTTTTAAAACAGAATCCTTACTTGGAAACCCGGTGAATAAAACAAATCCAGGTGAAGCTGCAATGCTTGCAGCTGGGATGAGCCCCAAAGACTCACCTCCAAAGCATCCCGAGGAGCCTTGGACACCCAGCAAAACAGTTTGAAAACCACCAGGGTCATCCCTCAATCACACATGTGAGAGTGAGACCCAGAAAGGAGAAGTGGCCTAGTCGTGGAGTCAGCTGGTTTGTGCAGAGAAATGGAATCGAGGCTCCTGGCTGCGAGTCCAGTGCCCTCTCTCCAGTCTGCCTCTTCATCATCTGTCATCTATTGTAGGGGCAGCTGCAGTCTCCTGTATGGGGAGCCCAGGGCCACCAGTGAATAAGTCATACATATTTATAGCTCTTTATTTTTATAGACCCTTTCAAACCTACTTACTGTCTTATATGATGCAATAATTCATGTGAACAAACCAAGATGGGTCTGCGTTGGGACATGCCCCTAGAAATCAGAGCTAGTTCAAAACACAGTGTGACTTTAAAAGAGGTTAGTGTGTTTTATGAGGCTTTAGAATGCTCTTAATTAGTTAACAACTAGAACAGGGGTTCCCAAAGGCTGTCCCGGGACCAGCAGCTTCGCCATCACCCGAGTTGTTAGAAATGCAGATTCCAGGCTCTCTACCCCAAAGACTTTCTGAATCAGAAACTCTGGGGGTGGAGTCCAGCAGTCTGTTAGTCTGGTTTTTTGTTGGTGGTGGTGGTTTGTTTTTTTTTTTGTTTTTTGTTTTTTTTGATGAGGCAGAGTCTTATTCTGTGCTCACCATACATCTGGCTAATTTTTCTGTATTTTTAGTAGAGACGGGGTTTCACCACGTTGGCCAGGCTGGTCTAGAAATCCTGACATTAGGTAATCCCCCCTCCTCGACCTCCCAAAGTTAGGATTACAGGCGTGAACCACTATACCCAGTCAGCAGTCTGTTTTGTTTTTTATTATTATTTTTTGAGACAAAGTCTCACTCTGTCACCCAGGCTGGAATGCAGTGGCCCAGTCTCCACTCATCACAAGCTCTGCCTCCCATGTTCAAGCTATTCTCCTGCCTCGGCCTCCTTAGTAGCTGGGACTACAGGCGCGTGCCACCACACCCAGATAATTTTTGTAGTTTTAGTGGAGATGGGGTTTTGCCACGTTGGCCAGGCTGGCCTCAAACTCCTGACCTCAGGTGATCCACCCGCCTCGGTCTCCCAAAGTGCTGGGATTACAGGTGTGAGGCAGCATGCCTGGCCCAGCAGTTTGTTTTTTAATAAGTTCTGTAGGTGATTCTGCTGCCAGCTCCAGTTTGAGAACCACATGCTAAGGAACGAGGTCATGATTGCTTCTACATCTCACTAGCTGTTTTGTCGTGTGCTCAGCATCATGGTAGATACCACACAGCAAAAGATAAGCAGCATCCTCCCTTATACCCCTCGATGCCCTCTTCTCAAGGAGTTTAGAATAGAGACCTCATGTTCCCAAGGCATGATCTAAAGCAGTGCTTGCTCACGCTTTGCTATGCATATGAGTCACCTGCAGATGTTGAAATAAAGATTCTGGTTCAACAAAGTTGTCTATTTAAGGCAGATAATGAAAGATTATGAATTCAGTAAAGACTCATAAATCTTCTGAATATTTACAAAGCTTTCCCAAGGCTCCAAAGCTAGAAAAGCACAGGAGAGAAATTGGCCAAGGACCAGGGACCTCAATTATTACAGTTCAAATTGGATGTAGTAATTTACCACCAGGCATGTAAGAGCTAAGTATGGTGAAGCTGATTTGTGCCTAAGGGAGAGTCCACCTAATCTCCCTTTCGTAAAGATCAATAAGGTGGTCAAAATGAATGAGAGGATAATCTGTTGGGCAGGTGGCTCCCAAGGTTACGGTGGGAAGGTACCTTAAGCACATCCTTCGCAGTAAATGCTGCTTAGATCATTGCTTCCCTTTGAGTGAATTATTATGCACTCTCTTGGGGAATCTGATAGGAGGAGAGATGGGCATGTAAGATGTCCATTTTGCATACTGAATGGTCAGAACATGCCACCCAAACCTAAGAGACAATTTTCATCTTTTTCTAGGCAGCATTACAACTTTAGGCAAACAGCATAAAAATCAAAAGGTTAGAATCCAGTCAAATCTCTTTCCTTCCTGGTCTTCAAAAGAATAAGGGATTGAATAATGGCTTTCTTTTAAACTCAAAGCAACTCCTAGATGATGGCCAATAGCAAGAAGCCCCAATATAAAAATGCGTGATTTTGGTGGGGGTGGGGTTTGAGACAAAGTCTCACTCTGTTGCCTAAGCTGGAGTGCAGCGGCGCGATCTCGGCTCACTGCAATCTCCCCCTCCCGGGTTCAAGAGATTCTCCTGCCTCAGCCTCCCCAGTAGCTGGGATTACAGGCACGTGCCACCATGCCTGGCTAATTTTTGTTTTTTAGTAGAGATGGGGTTTCACTATGTTGGCTAGGCTGGTCTTGGAACTCCTGACCTCGTGATCCGCCCACCTCAACCTCCCAAAGTGCTGGGATTACAGGTGTGAGCCACTGCACCCAGTAGGTGATGTTTTAATGTTCCCTATTTTCAGAGTCTTCATTTAACCACATCTGGGGATTACGAATTAATGTAGTTTCTGAGTCTCCCATTTGCTCAGGCTGTTAAAGTTTGCATGTGATGGGATGATTCTGGTAAGACAGTGTAAAATGAAGGGCCTATCCTTTTAGCCCCAAAGTGCTGTGGTTCTCTGTCTTAAATAAATTACTCAACATCTTTAGTAAAGTTTATAAATTTCTCCTTAAGTGATGACGAAAAAATGTTTAAATAATACACTAGTAAAGAAACAGGGCAATACCACCTTAAGGCAGCAACAGAACACCAACTTTTCAGTTGCAACATTGCTTCATTCACTTGTCTGCAAAAATGTAAACATTCATTCTGTGCATTCTCAAGAGAAAGAGAATTAAAGCAGGATGAATTCTGTTTGGCTAATTTTCAAAAAGCAGGTTTTGTAAAGCACTGCAGTGATCTGTCACTAGTTACTATAAGTACTTATAATAATAGATTGTCTTTAATTTCACCCAGAATCCAAAAAGCCAAGATGGCCTTTCTCCAAAAGAGGAGTGGTAAGTGTTGCGAATTGCCATTTTTGTTTTAATTAAGCCTCCTGTAGCTAAGAAAGTAAGAAATGTCTGAAGAGCCCTTTCACTCTGCTTTATCTTTGCATTAAAGCAGATGGCACGTGAAATATAAATGATATCATCACATCCGTAGTATTGGCTACAGAACATGCCAAATGGTGCCAATTTGTGCAGCGAAACAGTGCTAATTGCCAGTGGTTAATTAGCTCTGCAAAAAAACACAAAGCAATCCTAATATAGTGATGCTTTACAACACTAAATTTATAACTTGCTGCTTAGAAAGCAGCTCACTCGATGAAGCAAACTTGCACAAATGTATGCCCCAGTTTGCTGTTCATGCTGTGTATATTGGGAACATTGAAAAATGAATGAGATCTTACAGAAACGGATTCCACAAATACACTTCTATTTCTGGGAAAGCCAATGGGATTAGTCCTAGTAGGTTTAAACTCATTCTTGATTCCATCAATAATTGACGAGTTATCCATCTCAATCAGTGGTCCCTGAGACTTTACTGCCTAGGACAAGGGTGGCCACAATCAAGCCATTCCTTCTGGCACTCTGTGGAAAGAAGAAGGGAATGTTCATGATATCAGCCTGACTCCTCCTGTTTTCCAGGGGAAGGGAAGGGACTGATCTGTGTTCTCCCAGCAGTATCAGCTTGCAGTACCTACACACCACGACCAGCAGCAGCAGTGGGGTCTTATGGACGGTTACTATGTCTCATTCTGTTAAAAATCTGCCCTCATGGCCTTTCCAATCAGTTTGGCATCAGCTGCTGACATCTGCAGTGGTTCTATGAACACACACACCTTGCTTTTTTTTTTGAGACAGAGTTTCGCTCTTGTTACCCAGGCTGGAGTGCAATGGCGCGATCTCAGCTCACCGCAACCTCCGCCTCCTGGGTTCAGGCAATTCTCCTGCCTCAGCCTCCTGAGTAGCTGGGACTACAGGTACGCACCACCATTCCCAGCTAATTTTTTTGTATTTTTAGTAGAGACAGGGTTTCACCATGTTGCAGGATGGTCTCGATCTCTTGACCTCGTGATCCACCCGCCTCGGCCTCCCAAAGTGCTGGGAATATAGGCCTGAGCCACCGCGCCCAGCCACCTTGCTATTTTTTAAGTCCCATCGCTAAATAAAGGCCCTCTGAGGTTCCATTCCAGCTATTTCACTTACTGCCTTATGACCTTGGCCAAATGGATTAATCTTCCCTCAGCTCAGGTCTTCCCTATAAAAGGCAGAAGAGCAGTCCCAGCCTCACAGGGTGGTTGTAATGAGTGCCTTATAATGCATATGGAGCCTACCCCAGAGCAGGGCGCACACAGACACTCAGTCAATCTTGGCCATTATCACCAGTAGTAGTCTTTAATTAGGATTTGGAAAACTACTTATTCTCATAGCCAAGTGTGATTGACTTTCACTTTTTTCCCAAAAATGAAACATTTATATGGCGCATACTCTAAACATCACAAGCTACAAATCATAAATTGTTAGTAAAATTGTTAACACCATCGCCACCAGGGCTGTTTCTCATCAGTCATTTAGAGACATGCTGTGTCCGTTTTTCTGACAGGTCTTAGACAAGGCTTATGATCAGCCCCTCCTGAGCTATTTCCTCAAATAAACAGGCAGAGCTGGTCACCACCAATCATATCTGAGATCTCAGGAGAAGGGGCATCTCCCCGCAACCCTCCCGAGGGCTTATCTAGGACAGGAAAACTCTCAGGTCCACCTGAGAGAGAGTATGCTTTCAGAAGGGAAGAACTTTGCTAAGGAAGGGATGCTCCTACAAGTTGTTGGGATCAATCCATTCTTTTTTCCATAAAGAAGCAACTTGTTCTACACACGTGTTAAGCAACTGTGCCAAGTACTGGGACAGATATCTAAGATGCCAAGATGTCCATTAACAGCTCACAATTGAGAAGATGGAACTGACAAGTAAACTGGGTGGTGGGGGAAGCATGTTAAGTGGTTAGCACTGTGTTGGAGGGAGGGAGGGAGGGAGGCAATGATGGAGACACACAAAGAAAGAATAATTAGTGGCTGTTTTCAGCAATGAAGAGAAAGTCATTTCTAGAAGCTTCACTTTCACAAGAACACAATGTCTTCTTCTTTTATCTTCTTAGCCTTATCAGATCTCTATAAATGATAATATATAACAATGTATTTCAATATACATCAATATAACAAACACACTTCTATGTTGCGATGTGTTTTTCCATAATTCATATCTCTGTAAATGGTAATTCACATCAATATAACAAGCACACATCTGTGTTATGATGTGTTTTTCCGATCTATTACAGATTTGTCCTTTTCCTCCTTTCTTACTTCCTTTCCTCCCAGCCATCAATATATTAGTAATAAAAGCTAACGCATCTATAATGTTTAGCACATTACCTGGCACTGTTACTGTTTGCATGTATTCTTGTTTATGTATGTCAGTTAACACATGTGAACTCATAAATTCTACAACAATCCAACAAGGTAAGTAACATTATTACTTCTCATTTTGAAAATGGGGAAATGGATTCAGAGAGGTTGACTAGTTTGTCTGAGGACACACAGCTCATCATAAGCTATGGAGCATCCAGCAGTTCCAGGCAGTCTGGCTTTGAGTTTGTTCTAGCCCCAGTGTGGCCCTGCTCCTTTAACTGTGGGAGTCCCCCTCACCAGACCTAGAAAATCCTTCCTCTATTCTCTCATTAGAGTTCTCATAGATCTTGCCTGTTCTCACTGATTTGTCAACCCCTCCAAAAATGTGTGTATTCAGTCTTCACCTTCAATTTTGTCCAGTTCCATATCACCAGTGACTACTGCATGTCTTCATGCCACCTACCTCTTAGTTACTAAGTTTGAGACTCCAGAATTAACCTTGGCTTCTCACTTTTCTTTATCCACTCAAATAACCTTCAAATGCTTCTCATCGCCTCTCCTAACCACTAATACCACAATGGAGGCAAGAAAGCACTAAATGGGTGTGTCATTTTCAAGAGTTAATGTGACCACTGGGAGGACCGTCTCCTCTGCTCACTGGAATACTCACCCAGCCATTTGGCCAGGAGGCTAGTCAAACCCGTAGAAAGCCATGGTGAGCGCCCTGGCTAGCACCCACTTTCCCACAATGCCAATGCTGTTTCCATTGTCTCAGCCTCTTTCTTTTCCAACTGACTGCTGATATTTTATTTCCACAACATGCAGTCGCTGTGGTTTCAGACATCAACAAAAGGCATATGTCCCAATTGCAGTAGGAGGTCTTTAACTGGTTCCAAAATTCCTTTGCTGCTGTGGAGGCTAATGAGTCTACAATAGGTTTCCTCTTTCAGTGCTATAACCCTACCAGAGAAACCAGCCACAGCCCATTAGCATATTCTAAAACTGTGATAGGGTCTCCTTTCAGACACGCAGGGAGCCCCTACCTGCAACAGCAGATAACCTGTGCCTTCTCTTGCTCATGAAAATAACGTTGATTAACTTTCACCAAACTGTTTAGATCCATGCCAATATCATGCAACCTGAGGCAACAGAACAAGTCGAAAAACTGTTTGTGATAAACATTCATTTGAAATGCAGCCAAGCTGGCTTCTAAAAGCCTTGCACATTGTTATTTGATAGCTTCTTCCTGCTTTGGCTGATAAAATGAACTCTTTAAGTGAACAATTCATGATGTTGCAATAGAACAGTAAATAAACCAAAAAGAAAATGTTTGCAATGTAAGTTTAAAAAACAAGTTACAAAAAGATGTGTAAATATGCTACATTATACCTTTTAAAAATTAATTATGAATATGATCAGGAGAATATTTCCAATGGAAATGTGAGGGTGAAGACACATTTCATGGTGTTTTTTGTTTGTTTCTCAAATATTCTGCAGTAAACATATATTACCTTAGCATCTTATTTTTTAAACAGATATTATTAAGAAAAGATGACTATAACAAAAATAAGTGGGTGATTCCATTCTAAGGAAACTAGTGTTTCCAGCATATTTTCGTATTCTTTAGCAGATAATTATTGTTTGGGGCAAGTAGCTTTAACACTGGGCTTTATTTTATCATCTGCTAAATTAAGGGTTGAACCAATATGTCTGAAGTACCATCTGATGTTAATTAAGTCTTAGGGTCCAGCGTTTGGAAAAGGTAAAACTGTGAAGGCTATGTCACCCCCCACTGGGAAGACATGATAAGACTGTTGGCTACATGACCATTCTGTGCCTTGGATTTTTCTTTATTTGTAAAATGAGAGGTTTGAACCAGATGTTCTCACAGGCCTGTGTCCTCCAGCTCTGACATTCTGTGGTTATTTGGCTCCTACAAGAGCTCAGAAATAGCTTTGGAACTATTAGTGGCTTAACGACAAAACACGCCATCTCTTATCATGAATGTTAGGGAATGGACAAAAGATGCCAAGGCTACCAAAATCATGTCATTAAAGAATCTGTGTTTGAAAATCCTGTTTCTAACCATCTTTAAGCAGGGCAAAGACAAACACAAGTACATATCCGATCTGGAAAACTGCCTGTCCTCTGTGAAAATTACCAGCTTCAGGGGCTATGAGTTCTACAGTCTTAAGGTATCTTGCAAACTGTTTACTGTGGGGCATGCTTTTTCTTTTTGTTTTTTGGCAGGGTGGGGAGGGGAGGGTCAGTATTTTAAGCTGCCAGATTGCTGCCTTGTTTATAGCAAGAGCAAAGTGCAAGAGAGGAACACAGGGCTGACCAGGGTCTGCTCTGCTCAAACACACTGAAAGCTAGGGAAAGTAATTTTATCTTAAATAAGGTAACAAATGTGAGAGCACTTCATAGGCCAGGAAGCCTCTACAAATGTTAAAAGTGGTTGTTAGTACTCTTCATCTCTCTGGGCCTCAATTTCCTCACTGGAAACGTTGTTGTCTTTGATAAAACAATTTCTAAAGGTCTCTTTGAGCTTTAAAGCTCTCACTTCATGATTCTTCAGTCATTAATTTCAACAAGTGTTGCCTGTGGAATATGAAATCAAATTTCCCAGTTTTGGATTTGGAGTTCTTTGAGATTTTTTTGGCAATAAACTGAAAAAGACTCATGATATTCTCAAGCATAATTCAAAGCACCATCAATCTGAATTTCTTTGAATATTAAACTAGAAATAATGCACGTCGTTCATTTCATGCTGTGCATTAGGAGGAATTGGCATCCCAGACCCACATAGAGTGAAGCGGTGGTTTGGGTCACTGGAGGAGTCACTGCCAAGAGGGATGCCCAGGGCCTGAAGCAGCAAATCAGGATTTTGGGAGTTGCTCGGTCCTTTGGAACCAAAGCAGATAGCCAAAAAGTCAGTCCACTAAGGTGAAAATGTTTTGTTCTCTCTTTTTCCTCATGCACAGGATAAGACCTGGGATGAAGTCATGGAAACACATCACAAACTCACGACTGATCAATTAGACTTGAGAAAGCAGCAAGAGGCCATGTGGGAACTTTTCACAAGTGAATGCACCTATTTTTTGGACCATTTATTAGTTCTTAAGATGGTAATGCCAGGCTTAATTTTTATAGTAGATGGAAAATATTAATTTGGTTCTTTGGGCACTGGTTTTCCTCTTCTGAAAGAAATAAAGAAAAGAGAGAAAGAGAAAGAAAAGAAAGAAAGAGAAAGAAAGAAAGAAAAAGAAAGAGAAAGAAAGAAGAAAGGAAGGAAGGAAAGAAAGAAAGAAAGAGAAGGGGGGGAGGGAGAGAAAGGAAAGGAAGGAAGGAAAGGGAAAGGAAAGGAAAGGAAGAGAAGAGGGAAAGGGGGTGAGGCTTTTTCCCCCTCTTTCAGGGAATCGTGAAAATTTTTATTTATCATTTATTTTTGTTTGAACTCTTACTTGACTGTCTCTTTATACTTTCTTTAAACATTGGATCTTCTAAGTGAACTAGCCCAGTGTCCCATCCTATGTTGAGTCAATCTCTTCTGCCTTGTCTCACCAGTTTACACACTTCTGAGCCAGTGAGCTCACTCTCTTCTCAGGCAGCCCACTCCCTTCTCAGGCAGCCCATTTCATCTTTGTTTAGCTTCCTCTCTTGGAGCTCTTGCTACCTCCTGAACAGTGCCAGGTGAATGCTTTCCATCAGCTGCAGGGCCACCATTGCAGATTTCTGGGGCTACCATCCACATGCAATTTAGTACTGTTGGATCACATGGTATATTCATGATGTCTCTTTGTAAACATCACCCCTACGGTTGCATACTGCTGCAGACCTGATCTGTTAAGGCTCAGAACAGAGAATTTCTTCTAAAAGAACAATAGGTCAAGGAAGAGAAACATAGAGCAGCTTCCTACCGGGACCACAGGGGAGGATGGGCCACACAGCTCCCAAGGTTGCCTCTGCCCACAGCACTTTTGCATCCTGGTGACTGCCTTACACAGCTAAAAGGCACTGTGCTGGCAGACCTAAGTTCAAGACCTGGCTCTGCCTCTGATCTGCCTTGTGACCTTAGGAAAGTCTAGTCCTTCATATCCTAAACCAGGGGTTGGCAAATCTTTTCTGCAAAGGTGCAGAAAATATTTTGGGCTTTTTGTTCTATACAGTTTTTGTTGCAACCATTGAACTCTGCCATTGCAGTGCAAAATCAGCCTAAAGGAATGTGCATAACTGTGTCACCCAAAAAACATCATTTACCAAAACAGGTGGCAAGCCAGATTAAGCTCACAGGCTGCAGAGTTTGACAATCCCTGTCCTAAGCTATAAAAGAGGCATGGCAGTACCATCTCTGGCTATCTCCCAAGACCATTTTGATGATCAAATTAGTTTTCTTTAAAGTCTGTCAGGTGCTATACAAATGTCAGTTATTTTCTGTAAGTAGTATTTTTTGTCAGTCACAGTGCTAAATCCTTAACTGAGCAAAATGTAAATCACAAAGACACTCTGGGAGAAAACTGAAATTTAGAGACAATATCAGGATGCTAACATGAGCATATAATAGAAAACTAGCTTTAATATGGTATTTTATTAGGCCATGTGACTGCAAAGTTTAGAGGTGGGAGAGAATTCAAGACATGTTTGATCAAGAGGCTGAAAAACAAAACAACATTTCTTTCCATCTCTCACCCTGCCTTCCATGGCATTAGCTGCGTCCTGTGGCTAGCTTCTCTTGTAGTCACAGCATGGCTGCTATCCTTGAGCTAATGGTCAGAGACAGAGACATCTTCTTAGCATTCATAGCAAAAGTCTTGAGATTTATTCTGATTGGACCGGCTTAGATCACGTGCCCACCCCTGAGCCAAATACTCTAGTTCCATAAGGATGGAATGTGCCAATTGGCTTAAGGCAGTCAGGCCCACCCCTGGGAGTGAGGTCAGCTTGCCACATGGCACGTGTGCAGCCTGGGGGACAGTAGACATTGAGGTGAAAACCAGACTATTTTTAGGGAAGGGGAGTATTGAAGGCCATGGTAACAATACATGTTCACAGCAGAGCATGAAGCCCCTGAGCTATGCCACCTTCCTTGTCGTAAGCAATAGCACAGAGCTTTCTATCCCACCGTAAGCTGTCCAGGCTTTTCAAACTCACATTTTCTGTTTAAGAAAAGGCCAATTTGAGCTTACTGTCAAATATCTCAGTGTATTTAAAGTACATATGTACCTTCCTTTTACACAATCTATGTTTTCCAAAAGTGCTTATAAATTAAAAATTTGTAACTCATATAATAAATATCCTGGAGGACTCAGTATTTCTTTAAAATAGCAAAATTTCTGTAAAGCAAATAATTTTATAGCAAAAGTAGTATCTCTTCCAAATTGCCCCAATTTTTCTGTAGTAATGAGTTCTGTTTCTTACAATCATCTGTTTTAAATGCTTGGATCTTGACAGACTTCCAGACAACCAATACTCCATGGATTCTAAAAGGTCTAAGTGGTTCTCGACAGGTGGTCTCTAGACCAGCAGCATCAGAATCCGCTGGGGACTTGTTGGAAATGCACTTTCTCAGGCCCCATCACAGATGAGGTTGAGGCCCAGCAAGCTCTGGTGTAACGAAGCTGCCAGGTGATTCTGATGCAAATTCAAGAACCACCGACTACACTAATGAAATAATACAGGAGTGGGAATTGGAGAAAGTTATCTATCTAAAGCCCAGTCTTTTAACCCTTAAGATTCTTGAAATAATTTGTCCTTTTGTCCCTTTGAATGCTTCCCCTCCTACGTATACAAAGTATTTCTTTTTCAATAAATTGATCTTTCTTCAGTTTCTAGAATGAAGGGCAGGCTCTCTGTGAGTGAGAATTGAAGTTCTTTCTTGACTTGCTTTGTAGTGCTCCTGTTTGTGAAATCATCAAATTAAGTAAAAATAAAAACAACAATAAAAATTCCTTTAATGTTTTCATCTATTTTTAATGCCTCTAAGCAAATTCAAACCTTTTACCAGTTACCGAAGATGAACTCACTAAATCTCTATTTTTAATAGACATTTAAAATATACTGAAAGTAAAGTATATTTGGGTCTTTTGCAGAAGAAAGAGTACATGAGAACACACCATGAATATCATTTTGCTCTCAAGTTAGTAGTGTTGGCAAGAAGAGAACCTTTGGGATTTCTTTGGCACTAGAAGCAGAGGAAGCCCATTTGGACAGATTACGTTCAATAGGAATGTTGTTAGAATTCACATAAGCAATCGCAACTTTCATACTGAAAAGCTCATTTCTAATATGTTCTATGAAGTTTACGTGTCATCATTCGTATTGAGTATAACATTTAAACCCTGAGAGTGCTGATTTCTACCTTGTTTTGTAAAGTTATACCCAGGAGGTTTATGTTTAATGTTCTTGCAAAAGGCATGTTTCAAAATTTAAAAACAGAAGTTAATGTCATGTATTTTTTATTTCAAAGATTTTTATGAATACATTAAAATACCTGCAAATTCATGAATATCTCCTAGATGTGGATTTATGGAGACTTTTTGCAAACCTGGAGGAGTTAACTCAGGTGAGCCAAGTAGGAAGATGTTAGTAGGTGTGTTTTAACATTCACTAGAGGACCATGAAAATTCATGTTTGGTCTATTCTTACAGTTTGTATTCCATAATACATCTCCATATTCCATTCCCAGTTAGAACTTCAGGTTAATAAGATGGAAGTTGAAATATCCTTTCCCATAAATTGTAGATGTTAGTTAACCTTCATTTATCATTTTTCCATGGCTATTTTAAAAAGTAAACACATTCCTAAGATCTCCATCATCTTCATAAATGTTTATTTTCAAATGAATATCCTCTTCTCACATGCATTATAAATAAATAATATTTTTCCTCTTGAAAGGAAAAGAGATAGCAACAAGAATTTATTTATAAGAATACTTATAAGAAAATATGTATTGGAGGGTGGAGGAAATAAAGCTGTGAATTTTGCTAGGAGATAAATTTGAAATGGGAAACATCTGTAAGAATGATATTTGAAGTTCAACAAATGTTTATTCCTTAACCCTGGGTGTATGCCTACTTTTGTTTTCTTTCTCTCTGGCCCTAGACAAGCCTTGGATTTGTGAACAGTCTCTTCGGCATCATCAAGGACTACGTAGACACTTCTGAGACTTCCTCATCACTGGATTTCATTTCCGTGCTTACAAAGGTAAACTCCTCCCAGTATATCTCAGCTTCATGAAGTAAAATCACCAACCCCCTAGGACAGTTGTTCATACCCTACTTGATTTTTCTTCTCCCTGGGAACATTCTACCTCCACCCTCCCACAAAGGAACTGTCCCTTTCTCCGCCAATCAACATTTTCAAAAATAACTTGCAGATTCAGTTTTCCCATCGTCACATCTCCTGTGTGGGTTTCATTAACACAAAATCTGCTTGCATGGAAAAGCCATTTCCAAATCTGTTTTTTAAATGACTTCAATTTAGAGCAATATTCATGGTAATGGTTTAGTGTCTGCTAATTACGTGATTCAGTTGTTTTAATGAAAGTACCAGTTTGTCAGAAAGAAACAGAATAAACCCTCAAATCCGTCAACACCCTTGATCATATTTCTGTGAAATGAGGAGAAAAGAGGAAAACCTGTAGTCCTAGTTTGAGAAATTCTATTTATTTCTTTAGTAGACATTTGAACATCCTCTCCTATTTTTCTTACTTTGAGGTGTTTGTTTTGTTTTTTGAGATGGAGTCTTACTCTGTCACCCAGGCTGGAGTGCAACGGTGTAATCTTGGCTTACTGCAACCTCCACCTTCTGGGTTCAAGCAATTCTCCTGCCTCAACCTCCTGAGTAGCTGAGATTAATGGTGCATACCACCATGCCCAGCTAATTTTTGTATTTTTAACAGAGACAGGGTTTCACCATGTTGGTCAGGCTGGTCTGAACTTCTGACCTTGTGATCTACCTGCCTCAGCCTCCCAATGTGCTGGGATAACAGGCATGAGCCACCATCCCTGGCCTACTTTGAAGTTTTTAATCTAATTCTAGTCTAATTTCATTTAGCAAGATTTGAAATTTTATAGTCGGCTTTTTAAGAGAAAACATAGATTGAGATTGATTGAGAACTTACTAAGTGCTATGTATATAAGTGCCTTGTACACAATAACATGCAAAATTAAACAGCCTCTTGCTTTTAAGGAATTTTAGTCTAGTAGGGGAGAAGTTAAGCCAATAATGACACTAGTGGTTATATAATTAAAATAAGATAAATGCTGGGGAAAAGGAGGAACGTAAATATTATGAGTGTCCAACAAAGGAAACCTTTTAAGTTGGGGTGCATAGTAGGGTAGTCAGAGGTCAGAAATGCTTCCTGGGGATATGACACTTGAGAAGATACATGAAAAAGGAAGAGTTTTAACAAGGCGAAATAAGTAGGAAGGTCCTTTAGTGAACATTGAAAATGGGTTTAAATAAGAAAATCTTTGGATGTTTTTGTTTGTTGTTATTTTTAGACAGAGTCTCACTCTGTTGCCCAGGTTGGAGTGCAGTAGTGTGACTTCAGCTCCCTGCAACCTCTGCCTCCCAGGTTCAAGTGATTGTTGTGCCTCAGCCTCCCAAGTAGCTGGGATTACAGGCATGCATCACCACACCTGGCTAATTTTTGTGTTTTTAGTAGAGACGAAGTGTCACCATGTTGGTCAGGCTGGTCTCGAATTCCTGAACTCAGGTGATCTGCCTACCCCAGCCTCCCAAAGTGCTGGGATTATAGGAGCGAGCCACCACACCTGGACCAAATTTAGTTTTTAGTAAATATTCTGGAGAAATGTCAGCTTTTCATCAAAACATGTAAGTATACTTAGGGAGCACTAAAGAATGGGATACTGTTAGGCTCTTTACTAAGGGTAAACCACATATGAATAATAAACCCACATATGAATGCTCCATGCTATGTTCCCAATGTGTAATGATGGGTTATAAAAACTTTTCCTAAATTAAAAATGTTTTAACTGGCCAGGTGAGAGTCAGTTGTGCCACGGTAACAAAAACCCCCAAATCTCAGTGGATTGGTTCACTTCTCACTTGACTCAGGCCCAGCTACCAACATTCCCCTCCAAAATAAACTCAAATCATCTTTCATTACTTCCTGCTGAAGCCAAAACTTGACATTGTTCACTATAGTGTTTTCTCTCCTAATGTCCTATAACTAAATATTTTTCTAGATTTCACCCTCTCTGGCTTTGTTACTATCACTTCCGTTAGTGGTTTTACAGGCTGGGTCTGCTTTCTCTACTCACCAGCAAGTACGTTTTCCTTCTCCAATTTCACCACTTTGGGATACTACTGGAAATTCCTTAATGCAGCCCATGAGTCATTATATTAATCAATAAATCTATCAATGGACACATAGGCTTAGCAACATGGTAGACACTATAGAATCCTGAAGAGAGTACTGACAGTAACAAGCCAGGAGAATTACTGAAGGGAAAAGAATAACCATCATTCCTAAGAATAACTGGGATGGTGGCATGTAGTTCAGTGTGCTCAGTTTACTCATTATATGTATGAATAAATATATATAAATTAACAATTTGCCTTATTCTAAAAACAATTTTGGTGGTTTACAAATGTGTAGTCATTATAGCAAGTTTAAGACATTAAATAAGAATAATGAAGAAAAGGGACAACAAGACAAGCATTAGATTGGATAAGATAAAATGCATGCTGCTAGATACAGTATGCTTAGTAGGGATGTCCCAAATTTCTACACACTTAGAAGCCAGCAAAATTAAATGCATGGACATTCTTGAGGAATATCAGATGAAAAGTTCAGTGTCCTTACTTTAATCACTTACTATCAAAACAAGCTTAACATCAACCAACAGGGTCACCCAAATCAAAAGCGGTATTTGTCACTGGGTGTCCTGCAGGGTGTGGGGCCTGAAGAAAGCTTAAATAGAAGTAAAGGGGTGAATCAAATCAAGCAAATCAAGACAGCCTAAATAGAATTTTAATAGGGAGAAAAACATTATTATTGAGGTGTTAGCTGGTTTTTATGAGGTATTATTGAGATGTTAGCTGTTTATTAACCATATTTTGTCAAAAGAATGTTTATTGCTATTATAAACAGTGCTGCAATGAACATATGTGTGCATATGTCTTTATAGTAGAATGATTTATAATCCTAGTACAATTTTTTTAAAAAAGAATGTTTATTGTGGAGATTACCTGTGTATTTCCATGTGGTTGTGGCATCTGCTTGATCATGGCATCTCCACCACTTTTCCCTGTTCTAGCTAATGATAAAAGTGAAAAGAAATAGAGTCTGTCAGGGGTCAATGCTCTCCTTAACTTGCATTCATCCTCTTTCTGCTCTTCATTTCTTGCAGTATTTCCAAGGGAGTCTCTGTCAGAGCCACCAGACCTACTGCCTGAACTACTCAGCTGCTATCTTTTATCTTGAGAGCCTGAGGCAGAGAGATGACTTTGGAATTTATTTAAAAGTAAAGTATCATTTTCTTTTCCTTCGTATTTTTCCTGATGCTTTTTGGGTGTCACAGGTACTGGGAATGATTATATCTAAATTAAATGGGAAAGAAGGAAATGAAATGATCAACAATATGTTTTAACTACAAATCTGCTTTCCTCATAAATACATTGTCTGCTGCACACTTAGGAATATTAAATGGTGCCCATCTGAAAACATTACATTATCTACACTCCCTCCTGAAGTGTTGGCTGGGGCTTAGAAATGTTTTATTTGTTCATTGTGTTTTTGTGGAAGAAACTGGTACATTGTAAGGAGAAAACTATAGTAAGAACCTGAGCTAAGTTTGGCTCTTGCAGGAGTTAGTTCCAGCATAGAAGCCTGGGGCATCATTTATACTGTATTCTACATGAATGGTGCCCCCTTGATTACAGCATAAAGCACAATGTCAATGTCGCTCCCAGAGTTGCGCCAATATGGCAGTTCTGGGTCCCACAGCATTAAAAGAAGAAATTTCTGCTGGGGTCCTTCAGCATTTTCTAGTAGGCAAACCTAAAGCCAATTTCCCCTGACTTCCCTGATTCTGTTGGTCTCTGCTTTGATATTTCTTTAGTCTGAAATGGAACTTTTTCAGTTCTGTGTCAGAGCCCTTTTGGATCATCCAGAGAAAATGGTCTAAGCCTTTCCAGAAAACCAGCTCTTTCCTGCAGCTGCAAGAAGCCCCTGCCAGAACACGACCTCAGAGGCTTGGGAGGAAAGGCTGCCATGGTTCCCAATGACTCAGGTGTGAATTAGTGGGCTTCTGCCACAGCCTCCATATACCAGGAAGCCTGGGTGTGCCAAGGATGAGAAAAGAGGAATAATCCTGTAGATTCAGCCCTTTAGTGTTTTATTTGCTACTCAAACTGAAAACTGAAAGCTCATTAGATTTCCAAATGCATGAATAATCATGTTCCAAATGCTTCCCCTAGATACTGATGGATTAGACTCTTAGCTAGGCCCCCAAACTGAGAGAATCCAAGTTCATTTCTCTCCCTTCCAAGCTGGAAAAGAGATTAATTTAACAAGGTCCAATAATCATTTTCAAATAACTTTGGAAAATCCCATATCCATGTATTCAAAGCCAAATGATTTTTGTCAAAGGCATCAGAAACATACATTGGAAAAACAACACTCTCTTGAGTAAACAGTGCTATAAAAACAGAATATCTTGATGCAGAAGAGTGAAAGTAGATCCCTATCTCTTACCATATGTAAAAATCAAATAAAAATGAATTAAAGACTTAAGTATAAGGTCTGAAGCTACAAAACTGGTGGAAGAAACATAGAAGAAGCACTTGAGGATGTTGGTCTAGACATATTTTAGGGCCAAGACTTCAAAAGCATAGGCAACAAAAGCGAAAATAGACAAATGGGACTGTTTGAACTAAAAGGCTTCTGCATAGCAGAGGAAATAACGGAGTAAAGAGGCAATCTGCAAAATGGGAGAAAATATTCAAAAACTATTCATTCAACAGGGGACTAATACCTAGAATATACAAGGAACTTGAAGAGCAAAAAAATAAATCCGAGAAAAGAACCTGAATTGACATTTCCCAAAATAAAACATACAAATGGCCAATAAGTATATGAAAAAAAAATGTTCAACATCACTAATCATCAAGGAAATGCAAATCAAAATCACAATGTGATATCATCCCACCCCAGTTAGAATGGCTGTTAGTTTAAAAGATAAAAGAAAGTAACAGATGCTGGCAAGGATACAGAGAAAAGGGAGCTTCCATACACTTTTTGTGTAAATCAGTGCAGTTGTTATAGTAAACAAAATGGAGTTTTCTCAGAAAAATAAAAATAAAACTATCATCGATCCAGCAATCCCACCACTAGGTTTTTATCCAAAAGAAAGGAAATCAGTGCATCAAAAGATACCTGGTCCCCATTCCTACTGCAGCACTGTTCACATAGCTGAGATACAGAATCAACCTTGTATCCATCAACAGATGATTGATAAAACGCACTATATATATACAAAGGAATATTATTCAGCCAGAAAAAAATGAAATCTTGTCATTTACAGATGAAACTGGAGGTGATTAAGTGAAATAACTAGGCATAGAAAGACAGATATTGCATGTTCTCACCCATATGTGGGAGCTAAAAAAGTTAATCTCATGGAGATAGAGTAGGATGATAGTTTCCAGAGACTGGGAAGTGGGAGGAAGGGGATGAAGAGAGGTCAGTTAATGAGTGCAAACATACAATTATAGAATGAATAAGTTCTAGTGTCTGAAGGAATAAGTTACTATATATATATATACTATGCATATCATATTATATATATATATCATATATATATAATAACCCACTAGGGTGACTATAGTTAACACTAACTTGTTGTGTGTTTCAAAATAGCTAGAAGAAAAGATTGAAATGTTCTCAACATGAAGAAATGATGTTAATAAATGTGGTTATGGATATCATAAATACCCTGATTTGGTCCTTACACATTGTACGAATGTATCAAAATATCACATGTACCCCATAAATATGTATAATTGTGTATGAATAAAAGTGTATGTAGTGTCCAAAGATATTTTGTGAAAGGTGGTAGAGGATACAGTGCTGTTATCGCACATGATGCTTTTTTTTTTGAGACAAGGTTTTGCTTTGTTGCCCAGGCTAGAGTGTAGTGGCACAATCTCAGCTCAATACAACCTCCATCTTCCAGGTTCAAGTGATTCTCCTGCCTCAGCCTCCTGAGTAGCTGCAACTACAGGCACCTGCCATCACTCCTGGAAAATTTTTTTGTATTTTCAGTAGACGGGTTTCACAATGTTGCCAAGGCTGGTCTTGAACTCCTGACCTCAAGTGATTCGCCCACCTCGGCCTTCCGCAGTGCTTAGATTACAGGTGTGAGCCACCACGCCCAGCTACATGATGCTTTTATACTGCATAATACTTTACCAGACACTTTCTCAAAAGTGTCCTAATTTTGAACACAAACCTGTGAAGTTGATTACATTGTTCTTTTGTATCCCTGAGGCTCAGAGAGGTTAGATGACATTTGCAAGGTCACACAGCCAATAGGTGGCAAAGAAAGAACTATAGAAAGATTTTCAGACAAAAAAATCCAATGCTTTTCATGCCAGAACAGTTTCCAGTTCCTTGAGGCTACTTCCCACCACCATGGAACTATTAGCCTCAAGCAACAAAGGCAAGAGGTCAGGGAGAGACCTGCAGATATAACCCATGTTATAACACATGATTCTGTAAACACAAGGTGACTAGTGTCTGAGCCCTTGCTATGGCCCAGACACTGCGCTACATGCTGGCCATCCATGATCTTCTTGTCTACACACTAACTCTGCAGATTTTTATGTTGTCCCTGTTTTTCAGGAGTTTAGACAAATTAGGCAATGTACTGAAAGATATGGTTGTTCTAGGGCAGAGGTAGGATTTGAATTCAGACCTGTCTGAACCTGATGTTCCGTCTACAATGTTCTGTCATAAACAACATTCTTGGGGAATTTAAACCCATGTTGTGTTATTGGCTGCCTGAAATTGACCTATAAATGCAGTGGGATAAATTTACCTTCCATTCCACATGAGGCTAAGCTTTATGAATGCATGTACTTTATCCCAGTGCATATTAATGGGATTAGAATTCTTCCTACTGTTTTAAAAACGTATTTACTTATGTATTTATTTACTGAGACAGGGTCTGATTCTGTCACCCAGGCTAGAGTGCATGGTACAATTATGGCTCAGTGCAGCCTCAGACTCCTGGGCTCAAATGACCCTCACACCTCAGCCTCCCACGTAGCTGGGACTACTAACACTTGCCACCACCCCTGGCTAATTTTCTAATTTTTGTAGAGATAGGGTCTCGCTATGTTGCCCAGCTTGTCTCAAACTCCTAAGCTCAAGTGACCCTCCTGCTTACTATTTTAGAAACAAAATGATGTAGAGGAAGAAACTGGGAACTTCATACCAAGTCTCTTAATGTGATTCTTCTAACAATGGCTAAGGACTCTCGCCTAATGGACTGAATGGTCGAGACGTGCCAGGCTCTGTTCTAAGCACTTTGTGTAAATTATCTCATTAAAACCTCTCACCAACCCAATGAGGTAGTTACTCTTGTTATCTACATTTTACAGATAGGTTTTAGAAAGGGTAAGTAAATTTCCTCAGGTTCCAAGAATTCTGGTTGCCCCATCCCAATGCTGTGCCCCACCAAGACAGATTTATTAGGACTTTAAAAAAACAAAAACAGGGTCTCACCCCATTACCCAGGCTGGAATGCAGTGGTGCCATCATGGCCCACTGCAGCCTCAATCTCCCAGGCTCAAGCGACAGGACATAGTTTCATTCGGGGCCCTTTAATCCTTTCACAGATTCCCTAAGCACGTTGGATATAGCAAAAGTAGCCTCCATGGATCTAGACTCATCAATAAAAAGGCCTTTTATGTCCAGTCTCTCTCAATGAAAATGTTCTTTGCCTTTCCTAACAGACCTGAAAAATGAAGTCAAAAGAGAGATGAAAGGAAACTTACAGCTTTGCTTTTATAATGTCAAGCCATTCTTTTTCTCTTTTCTGAAGTTTTCTGAAACACTAAATGCTTCCAACATCCCTGCCTGGATCCTTGTCTAAATTATTTACCATGGATGCTTTCTGCCAATTGCCATGGAGGAGCTTGGTGTTTTCACTTTGACCTGGAATACCAGTGTGTGCTGGCAGCCAGAGCTGTTCCCCACAGCAGGGCAATTTGGGGCAGTGGCCTCGGGCAGTGAGTTTTTTGGGAGGGCAGGGGCCTAACTGCTGCTGAGAAATCAGTTACAAGAACTCCCAGCCACCCAAGAGGTCCAGGACCCGCAGGAACTGGAACACTGCTGTCTATGAGTCAACATAGAAATCAGCCTCTAGAGAACAGCCCTGCTCCCCTCCACTCACAGCCTGTCTTCATCTGTCATGCTTGCTTTTGTCTCCATCCCTGCCGATGTCCATGAAAAGAATCACAGCCATTGGACCTGGAGGAGAACTTGGAGATCATCTAGCCAAGAGCCATGTAGCCAGACTGGAGTCTGAGGCTACAGTCAGCCGTGATTGCTCCACTGCACTCTAGCTTGGGTGACAGAGTCAGATCGACCCTGTCTCAATAAATAAATACAAATATAATAGTAGGAAAAATTCTAATCCCATTAATGTGCACTAGGATAAAGCCATGCCTTCATAAAGCTTAGCCCACTGTGGTATGAAGGGTAAATTTATACCACTGCATTTATACGTCAATTTCAGACAGCCTATAACACGACATGGGTTTAAGTTCTACAAGAATGTTGTTTAAAACAGAGCATTTTAGGAGATTGACCATCAGGTTCAGACAGGTCTGAATTCAAATCCTACCTCTGCCCTAGAACAACCATATCTTTTAGCACATTGCCTGATTTGTCTAAGAAGAGTAATTGAAGGTCCAGAGAAAGAAGGTGGTCCTCGGAGCCAGGATCCTAGAGCTCTGTTCACCTTGCACCGTGCGCTCACTCTCACAGCCAGCCAACTGTACATAGGGGAGAGAAGATTGAATTTGGCAGCATGCCTATGATGAAGAGCCCAGGATATTTTTAAAAACATCCAGCTGGGCCAGGTGCTGTGGCTCACACCTGTAATCCCAGCACTTTGGGAGGTGTGCAAATTGCTTGAACCCAGGAGTTTGAGACCAGCCTGGGCAACATAGTGAGACCCAATCTCTACAAAAAACTTAAAAATTAGCTAGGTATGGTGGCCTGCACCTGTAGTGTCAGCTATGTGAGAGGCAGAGGTGGGAAGATCCCTTGAGCCTAGGAGGTCGAGGCTGCAGTGAGGCATGATCATACCACTACACTTCACCCTAGGTGACAGAGCAATACCCTCTTGCCCACACCCTTAAAAAAAAAACAACTGATAGTATGGGAGGACAGTGAGACCCCACCTCGCTATACCAAGGACATGGTCAAGCTATAAAAGACAAATGCAAGTTGCTAGGCAGGATGCTAGAAGGTAAACAGGCAGGGTTTGTTTAAGTGGGAAGAGAGAAAGAGCTCTCCCTTTCCAAAAAGAATGGAGCCAGCAAAATAGTAGCGACTTGTGGGCTGTGTATTTGACCCCTCTTCACAATCCAAAATCTTCAGTAAAATAAACATGCATACTCACAAAACATGTCACGAGAGGGTTTACAGTGGAAACTAACATCAGAAACCAGGAGGATACGTTTGTTCCATGCTGTTCAGGGAAGAAACGGTGTACATGAAAACAAGAGTCTAGGGGAAGCCATTAGAATCTCAGTCCCCAGATACTGGTAAATATCTAGGGGAGAAGTTTGGACTTCCACAGGCCATTGGAAAGTGTACATGGCCTGTGGAAGTCCAAATGGAAACAAGCGTCCAGGGCCCAGAGGAAGCCATTAGAATCTCAGTCCCCTAGATATTAGTAAATATCAAGGGGAGGAGTTTGGGCTTCCACAGGACATGGGAATGGGGGAGGATTGAGTCAAATGTACCTAGATCTTCAAAATGCAAGGCCTGACACATGGGCTTGAAGACATCTCTGGGGATGTAGCATGAGTTTCCTGCAGTGTGGCCCACCTGAGGATAGCCCTGAAGGGACTGGGTCATAAGGCAAAGGAGCTAACCTGGAGAATGAAAGGAGAATGGAAGGTAGAAAAGAGGTGGCAGACTGCAGCAGGAGAAATATTTAGTGTAAGGGCAGAATCCCTGTGGTAGTCATTTCAGGCTGCTAAAACAACACGCCACAGATTGGGTGGGTTATAATCACAGGAGAGAGTTGCTCACAGTTCTGGAGGCTGAAACTTTCCTGGTGCCAGCATGGTTAGGGGCTAGTGATGGCCTTTTTCTGGGTTGCAAACAGCTGTCTTCTCATTGTATCCTCACATGGTGGAAAGAGAGCTAGAGAGCTCTCCAGGATCCTTTTATAAGGGCACTAATCCCATTCCTGAGGGTTCCATGCTCCTGGCCTAATCACCTCCCAACAGTCCCACCTCCTAATACCATCCCATTGAAGGTTAGGATTTTATTAGGTTGGTGCAAAATTAATTGCAGATTTGGAAATTAAAAGTAATATGACGTGGATTTGAAGGAAAGCAAACACTCAGTTTATATTAATCCCTCTATCACTGCTCAGGGTCAATTTGGTGTGAGTGGGCAGTGTAGGAGAAGAGGAAGAGAACACACCCCACTATGCTCCTTCCTGATGTACCCGTCTACATGCTGGCCATTGACCACCTTCATGCCTCATTTGTCACCTTCATAAAAGGCAGAGAGTGCCTTAGGTTCAAGAAAGCTCACATTCAAAGAAACGGCACAGCAAATAAAACTAATGTAAAAGCTATTCTCATGTTCACTCAGGTTTCTCAAACATCGTTTATGGAACCCCAATGTATAACCCATGGCAATACTTACTACAGTTACTAAATTACTAAATTTTCTTTTCTTGTCTTCCCCAGTGCTGGCATACCCTAGAACTTCCTCTACCAAACCCCAACTCCAAATACTGCCTATTGAAAACTCCGCGTCTGTTCTCCGTGTCTCTACCTCTTTCCTCTCCCATCTTTGTTCTAGATCAACTGAACCTCTTTAACTTCTATGTTCATTTCTCTTCATTTTTTATCATTACCCTGATCCTTCCCAACTAAGGGGAGTCAAGGAACTGACCCAACAAGCACGAATCCTTCCTTTTCCCCCAGTCTCAATTCTCAATTCTCCTAACTGCATCACAAGTGGGAACAAAGCTGGTGAACCCAGAAATCGCCCCGAGGGCTGGGGAGGAGGAGCCAATGGGCAGAACTAAATTCACTCTCAAATGAAAAGGGTAGACAAAGCTGGAGCACATCTGTTATGACGTCTTATCACTACGCTAATGGAACATGCACTTTTTAGGGGATTTGATCTGTGGCTTATAAATTGTCCCAGCAAACTCACAAGTGCATCCTGCAGTTAACTGAGTAAAATCTCTAAAAAGCTCTCATATCCAGGTTTCTTAGTGGCTCAGTGGTTGAGGTGATCATTCTCATGTGGCTCCTTTTGCCTTCCCCAGTGGTGTGAGCATAATGAACAATGCAGACGACTCCACCTGCCTGAGCTACTAGTGGCCCCACTTCAGAGGCTCACTCGATATCCGTTGTTGCTGAAGAATATCTGGAAAAGGAGCATGGACTCTGCTGAGAAAATCATGATCTATTCCATCAAGGAAAAGGTGGAAAAGTCCATCCGTAAGTCCCTGAGATAAGAGAGCTTAATTAAAGAGTTGGGGCCTTGTGACTCCTGGGAACTCTCTGGGCTTCCATCCTTGGAGGTAATTCCATTGATTTGAGGTCATGGCTCTCAGAAATGTGGGTTCAAGTGTGAGTGCATTGTAAATCAAATGTGCACGGAACAATGGGCTCCAGTCACATCCTGGTGAATCCTATGAGAACTCTAGCACCAAGTTTACACAGGATGTGACTCTGTCTCCAAGTGTTTCAGAAGTGAGTTCAGCAGGAAAAGTTACTTCCCAGACAACTGAAGGCACTTTGTTTTTAACAGTCATACTGACCCCACACACAAAGCAAATGGGAGTAAACACCATGGAAAATGTGTCCAGAGGATAAATTACCATTCATCATTTCTTAAATCACTGAAAGCCAGGGTCAATGTGAAACTATGCCAACTGCAATCTTTACAACTGAAATTTGAGGATGGGAACTGAGCGGGCCCTATGATGACTTCAGTTTATTTGTTTAACTTTTGTGTAATTGAAATTCACATAAAGAAGTTCATGATTTATGCCCATAAACCAAGATTTCAATGGCCAAGGTGGGCATCGAAAGGGAACAATTCAAATTGGTAATATTCAGCTGTACAGAAATGTTTTTTTTTTTTCTTTGGCAAGTTTAAAAGTAAAATGATACTGCCTGGAACAGGTGCTTTAAAGAAAAGTAAAATGACCATTTAATTGGTTTTTTTTTTCCTTTTAAATTTTTTATTCAAATTCTAAAATTACCTGAAGAGCTGGAATTAAGTTTATCAAGTAAGACAAAGATTCAGTTAAAGATGACTTCTTTAAACTTTTGAAGTAATCTTAAGGTTTATTATTCATTTGGATGTGTTTGGGAGGAAAGATAAAGCAGCACCTCTGGAGATTTCTCGGTAAAAGATAGATTCTCATTGTTGAGGGAAGAGATCTGTGTGGGCTTCCTTTAAGTCTATTAGCTTAGAGATTGTGAATTCTGAAGGGTTCCACTAACAATGTGACTCTGCAGGTCTTTTGCTTGCCTTCCATGTTTTCAAAAATCATTTCAAACCCTCAATAGCAACATGTTACTAGAAAGCATTGGAAAATGAATACAAACCTCCCAAAGAGATAATCACCATTATCATTAAGTGAATATATACTTTTATGATTGGGACAAAAGGATATGGTTGTCCTTGTTAGTCTGATTTTTTTTCTTCCTCTAATTAAAGGCTGTGTGGTCTAGGGAATAAGAGAAAACTACCAAGAATTTCATTAGAATTATTGAAATAAAAATACACAATATAATTTCAACTTACTGAATTAAATTAGTTAAGCTTCATTTTTCTCTGCAAGAGGCTGATTTCAAATTAGTGAGTTTTCTAAGTCGCATGAACAGCAAGTAATATGTGACATGAACTTAATATATGGTCTGGCTCCAGGGGCAGCCAGTGTTTCTAAACGATTCCTGTGAACCTTGGTTAAAATCTATACTGCAATGTCACATGCACTTAAAAATAGACTGACTGTGTCTTGTCTTTCAGGGGACCTTGAAGGAAAAGTGAAGTGGCTGGACAATTTCCAAAAATTTAGATATCTACAGGAGATTATAGTGTGGCCACCGCTTTGGGATAGAGATAAAAGGTTTTTCGTTCCAGAGGTAGGAAGAAAAGATCAATTAAGACTTATGTCCCTTTCTGGAAGTTGGGCATTCAGACAGAAATACAATCTTAGATGTCCCCATCTGTCTACTTGAAGAAGAAATCTAGTTTCATGAACCAGAAGTAGTCTTCATCTGTAGGGCATTGTATGTGGGGAGGCTGAGGTCATTATGCCATTCTTACGATGGTCCTTCTGAGAGGTTTTTTCATTATTTCCCATTCCCATGTCCATCTGCTGGCATTTCCAAATGTCATGAACTTTCTAGATGAAGTTGATTGCCCCAGCTTTTTAAACATGTTCTCTTCAGATCACTAACAACATCTCTTTTATTTTCTCCCTTGTTTCACAAGTGTTTGAAACACATTTTTAAAGAACACACGGCAGAAAACATCTTGTCACCAACCAACAGACACCTTCTCTATGAAGGAAAATTAACTCTTGCAGGTAAATAACTGCTTCCTTTAAAAACCCAGCATCTGTGCTGCCTTGTAACTTGTTTGACCTCCAGTAATTGAAGAGCAGGAGGAATTGTGTTTGCCCATGTTGCAGGTGATGGAGGGTGTGAATCAGAGAGTATCTTATGGGGTCACACAGACTCAGGCTTGAAAGAAGACTTTACAACATAACTATCTAGGTGCCCTCCATTTTCTCTCTGTAATGGGATAACTGTAACTACTCCATAGGATTGTTAAAACAACATCTGTCTCTACTAAAAATACAAAATTAGCCAGGCGTGGTGGCACATGCCTGTAATCTCAGCTACTCGGGAGGCTGAGGCAGGAGAATTGCTTGAACCCAAGGAGGCGGAGGTTGCGGTGAGCCAAGATGGCATCATTGCACTCCAGCCTGGGCAACAAGAGCAAAACTCTGTTTCAAAAACAAAACAAAAACAACATACAAGAACAACTTAGCTCACAGTCTGGAATCTAATAAACACGCAGTCAATGGCAGCTGTTATCATCAGAATCATTGTACTCCTCCAATGAGCCAGACAATCAAGCTCTCAAATGTTTGTGGAGAGTCTATTACGTAGCACAGGTTGTGCTAGGTAGGGGCCATTGGGGGATATAAAATACGTATTCTGTGTAATTCTTTCCCTCTAGTTGGAAAGCTCTGCCTTATTACCACACCTACAGGATAAGTTCAGAAAGAAGAGAGTCATTGAGGCTGGAGTGCCCCGGAGAGGCTTCGTGCAGTCTGTGGGACTGGAGGTGGGCTTGGAGGGGCAGGAAGGATGAGGTCAGTGGAAGGACAAGAGGGAGGTCATTCTGATAAAGAGCACAGCTGGAGAAAAGTCGTGGAGGCAGAAGCCCCCGGAGAAACTCAGTTTCTAGCAGAGTACATAGGAAGCCAAGCCCCTGGGGCTGACTGCCTGGCTCACTCCATGCTCAGCCTTTTCTGCCTGCACAACCTTGGGCCATTTACAGTGATCTCCTGTGCTTCAGTTTACCTTTCTTTATTGTGAGGATTAAATGAACCAACAGATGTATAAGCACTCAAAAGAATGATTGACACAAAGTTTTTCATGCTCAATAAATATCATGATGACCAGAAAGGCTGCTTGGCTGAAATAAGATTTGCAATCATTTACTTAATCATTTTTGCACAAAATCTTGACCAGGCATCTACTGAGCATGAAGTGCTGTGGGATGGGAGGTTGCCTAACTGTGGTGATGTGCTATCTTGTGGGAAGGGGCTGGGAAATAATCTCTTACTATGTGTATATTGAGACTCTGCTCTATTTTAGAGGTAGTCTGGATGTCAGGTTAGGACATAATCCCCACCTGGCAACTGTCAAATAAGGAAGATAGACATGTCCAGTGTTTTATATCCAAGGGCTTTTTCATACATTAACTCTTTGCAGTGAGTTAAACAGAGAAGTTGCTTTTAATCCCTTGCTATAGGTGAGAGATTTGGGGCTCAAGGATGTTATCATGCCCAAGTTCAGCTGGTGGGTAAATGACAGAGTACCAGCTGGAGCCAGGCTGCCTTGGTCTGGCCAGCTTCCAGAATCATAGCAACTGCCTTGGAAACCAAACAGAGGGACCCAGCCAGGAAACTGCAGGCAACCAGAAGTCATTGAGTTCTCAGACAGGGAAGTGATAAGTTAAAAGGATATTGAAGAAAGCGTTGTTAATAAGCAATGTTCAAAATTGCATAGAGGAGACCAAAGCAGAGAGATCAGTAGTGAAACCGAAAGTTCCATGGTGAACAGGCCGAGGTGAGAACACTCTGGGCCTGTCTGCTGCTCTGCCATTTTTTACCTGTGGTCCACTCACCCTCTACTTTCATTTGAAAAGATAACAATTTAACTTTTCTTTAATGTTATTTATAACTTTGGAGTAATTATATTTTATGACAGGGCCAAATTTAAGTAATAAAGCAAAACATTATCTGTGTTGTTCAGCATGTATCTTTCCCTCCAAAATTGGCCCCACCTGAAATTATGTGAGACTCTTCCTGCCTATCTCCCAATACTGCGAGATGCACCAGCTCCTCCTAAAACATTAGAAATGGGCGTGATAGAAAAGGATATGAGAGATATTGCGAAGGCAAAACCAGGAGGACTTTACAACTGATAAAGTGGATGAAGAGGAAATGAGTCTAAAAGTGTTCTGATCTGTGTATTCGAAAGTTTTGTTGATAATGCCATGAGTGGTGGAGGGAGTGGGTCAGAGGGTCAATTTTAGGGTTCAGGTTTGGGCATAATGAGAACCCACATGGAAGTTGGAGGAGCAGCTCTCGGTGGGTGAAAGGCTATGTCAGATGTGAATCCATGCATCACATAGGTTTGAAGTGATTGTCATAGATGCGTGGGTGGGAAGCTCATCTAAGAAAGACTTTACAAGCAGACTTAACTTTTCCGGAAAATGTTTCTTATGCAGTCAAATGCGGTAGCATGGAGATAACTACGTAATGTCATTAACACCAGGCACTTGTTTAATGGCATACGCTGCACTAGTCAAATTCCATCAGAGATGGAGACTCCATGTTGTAATCGACATGGTATCAAGTCAAGGGTAAAGTCATGAGACTTTGACTGAGAGTTGAGCATAGAGATTTGACGGGGCAGGGTGACAGTGTGAGAAGAAGAAACAACATTTCGCTTCATGGTCTTTTGGCTAAGATCAAGTGAAGAAACAGGACATCATTTTGAATGAAAAATGTATTGAACCACGTCAGGGGACCTAGCATCAATTGTAGGCTTTGGGAAAATTTGAATTCTCTTATTCTCTTGTATAAATGTTATTGCTGCCACTGCTGATGATGACAAGGATGATGAAAATGATGTGATGAAACCTAACACATACTGCATTTCCAAATGTCTTCCAGCCTTAAAAACTATACTCTTATAACCAAATCAGTATATTTTCTCATTCCCAGAAGGCACATATTTTTATAATTTGTTTCATAACTTGCTTGGTGGAACACTAGGTCCTCAATAAATGGTAGCTAAAATAATTATCACTTTCTAGAATAATGTCTGGAACATTATCTAGAATGACTGGAATACATAGAAAGTGTGTTCCCTGACTGTCAAAATAAAATAGTTGAAATTATAAGAAGAAAACAAAACTATTTCATTTTGACAATGATCATTAAACTGATACATACATGAGTAGCAGAGGATGGAGACAGCAAATTTTACAGGTCTGAAGGTTGCTGTGGACTGAATTGTGTTCCTCCGCAAATCACATGTTGAAGCCCTAATGTCCAGTATGACTATACTTGGAATAAGGAAGAAATGCAGGTAAAATGAGGTGCTCATGCTGGAGCCTTGATCTGAGAGGATTAGTACCCTAACCAGAGCAGACACCAGAGAGCTCACGCTCTCTGTTTGCCATGTAAGAATACATCCAGAAGGTGGCTATCTGCAAGCCAAAAAGAGAGCCCTTATCAGGAACCGAATCAACCAGCACCTTGATCTACTTCCCAGGCTCCAGAAGTATGAGGAATAAATTCCGATTGCATAAGCCACCCTGTCTGTGGTATTTTGCTATGGCAGGCTGAGCTGGCTCTTCACAGGTCTAGTACTGTCCCATCTTAGCCCTGTATATCAATTGGCATATAGAGTCAGCCACTGGAGACAGGTAACCATCACTTAAAAGAGATCGTTTATTTCTCTCATTATGTCGCAAGCTATATGAGAGCTCCACTCCATAAAGTCATTGGGAATCCAGATTCCTGCTGTCATATTGGCAAATCTAGGGTATTGCTTTCTTCTGAGTGGCCCCAGATGACTCACCAATATGTTTGCATTCTACCCAATAAGAAGGAGAGACGGATAAGAGAGCTTAGCCCTCCCCTTCGCCAATATGACTCAGAAGTTGTATACTTTGGCTCACATTCCACTGGTCAGAATTTAGCTCCTTGGTCATATTCAGCAGCAAGGAAATGTAGTCTCTATTCTCTGTGGATGAGTACTCACTAAAATTTGGGGATTCCATTGGTATAAGAGAGGGGAAGAACAGTTTTCAAGGGACAATGCAGTCTTTGCCACAACTTGATTTATGAAAAGTTAGGTTTCTAGTATGATTTTTAAAAAACTATTCAAGAACTGTTTAATTTGAATAAAACACCTGATTTCTCTCCTATGCAAATATAGAAAAAAATCTTTTCTCTAAACTTAAAGAATGAGAGAGGAGAGAAATGAATCCTAAATGTTTCATCTACTACTTTAAAGCTTCCAGGGGTAAACACATATAAGAAAGAACTTCTAGAACAACATACATAATATAAATAGAACAAGCTGAAAAAAAATATACTGGGTTTTTCTATGTTTACTCTAAGCACTTGTCACATCCCCCTCTAAAAGCTTTTCCTCCGGAATCACTTAAATTTAACTTTTTTTTTTTCTAATTTCTAAGTGATAGAGTAAATTAAAGAAGGAGATGCCTTATTCTAATATTTAGTTTCTCTTCTACTACTATTCCCTTCTTAGGAAAAACTAAAGAAAACTATTTACCTTAAGTAACTATTAAAACTAATAACAGAAAAGTTTGTAAATATGAAGTACATGGAGAATATCTAAACATTTATACCCAGGTTCTAAAAATTGAGAAATAAGTAGTTTTAATGACTGTCAACATAGGCCACCATAACAAAATACCACGGTCAGGCTGGCTTAAACAGCAGATATTTATGTCCTACAGTCTGGAGGCTGAAAATTCCCAGGTCAACGTGATGGCAAATTCTGAGCACTCTCTTCAAGATGAGGGTTGGGGGAAAGGGGGTTCTCTGGTGTCTCAACAGAATATTAATTCTACTGGACTAGTGCTCTAGCCTTGTCACCCCATTACCCTAATTACTTTCTTACTCTAGATGCAGCCACACTAAGGGTTTAGGGCTTCAACATACAAAACCTGAGGGACACAATAGCATAGTTCATAGCAGTAAGAAAATGCCTTTTCTCTGGTTATGTGCGCCTTTGTCAATAACCACCCAGAGGAATCAAGAGGCAAAAATGCTGCAAATTCAATTAGTTGAGGGATTTGCCTTCCGCTTAGTTGAAGCCACTACAAATGCCATCTGAGTTATCTTAGATCCAAATGAGATGCATCATAAATACAATGTCTTTAAAGTTGGAAGCCTGGCCTCTCAGCAAGTCTCTGCTTTAGTAAGAAATCAATTCAACATTGAGGCAGGCAGCTTTCTGACTTACATGATTGGAGCCCCTGGGGTGCCATAATACCCATCAAGTTTTGTTTTATAAAGAATTCATTGATTTTTTTTAAACCCCTTCTACTTAGGGCTTTGAGTATCCATTTCAGCTTCTCTTTTTTTCCTCAGAAAGCACAAGATTCCTAGACGCTTATTTGTTTCTCTTCAATGATTTCCTCTTAGTTACAAAAACTAAGCGCAACAAAAAGGTAAAATGCTGATATTTCAAAGTAAGTTTCTTATCAGGTTTGCTAAATGAGTTGTGGTAAAAATATAAAATATTCTTATATATCAGGCTGAATCTTTTCCTCTAAAGAATGAAGGCATTATATAATATTGGCTTTTTTAGTCATAAAGCTCTGAATTTAGAAACATAAAACCAAAAAAAATGCAAGCAGCATTTCTCAAGGATGTCAAAAGAGGAATACATTTTTAGAACAACTTAATCTATATACTTGCAAGCTAAGTCCCAGAAGCCAGAGAACTTTGCCTGACCTGCCTAAGCAAAGGAACCCAAAACATCTTTGTCCGTTTTGGCCCATTCCTTTTCTGAACTGGCCACCACAACAAAAACAGCCAGAGAAGGGGACTCTCTGAACTGTCTACTGTCTTGTGTCAAGGTGGTATTCAAGACTCATTCTGATTTGAAAGCTCACATTATTTCTAAGAAATAATGATTTGGGGTGAAGGTGAGAGGGACACCTGATCTCTCAGTATCTACCTACATAAAAAGTGTAGAAGCCAAATATATATGTAGCTGTCATCACAGACAGAATGAGTCAACTAGGAGCTAGAGCTGCAAAATCTCTACAGGGAATAGGGATTTTTTTCACATTACTTAAGTATTATGTGTTACTATTATTGTTGTTGTTATTTTTACTACTCATTAAGCCACTGGTCTGCTGCAGGTCCCCAAAAGGCTTTCTGTCTAATTTACTGTTTCACAATCCATTCCCTGAATGGTATGAGTGAGTGGTATCAGCAGGGAAGTTTCTCTGCAATGTCTTCAACCGTCAAGAGACACCTAATGTTGCTTTATTCCACTCATTTCTTTACCAAGTGACTAGCCTTACACAGATGATAAGATCACGAGACTAGCTATCTCATATCTTTTAATAAACTAAGCTTCTACATTGCATATTGGTTGAGCTAAATCAATGATCTTTAAGCAATAAAATAGATACCCATTAATCAATCTATGAATAGTTGATTGGTGATTGGAGAAGGAATAGGTGTACAAGAATATTAAGAGTCACAGTTTCAGAATTTGTATGACCTCCTATTTTAAGTTGCTCAGACTAGCATGTCTGCATAAACCATGTTCTGAAAAATCTCTAGCCCTTTCAAAAAAAACCTTGATGCTTGCATAGTTGATCTTCATGTCAAATAATGGTACAAATCAGAACATAAGAATTAATGGCAGCCCATGTTGATCATATAATAAGGTGATACTCTGGTTTCACGCATTCTAAGTTGATTGCTAAAGTAAGGAATTGTATCAGTTTACATGCCTTTTTGCTATTTTATGTACAATTTATACCATGCAAGTCATACTTTTTTTTACCCTTTTTTTAAAAATATCAGCATCTTATGTGTTCAAAATAATTTCAATTATTTATAAATTCTAGAGCATGGAATCTATTTAGAATTCAGTATTAGATCCCAGGCATACAGTTGGCCAAAGTGAGGCCCCCTTTCTCATTCATCAAACTCAATACTATAAAGAGATTAAGATACTAGGAATGAAGAACTTCCCATTGACGTGAGGGTGATTTAAATGTTTCCCAGTTAGGGACATCAACCATTATTTATTCTGGTAATGAAACTTGGAGATCAGAAACACTTTGGTGCTGGACACGGTGGCTCACTCTTATAATCTCAGCACTTTAGGAAACTGAGGTGGGAGGATCACTTGAGCCCAGGGCTTCCAGACTAGCCTGGGCAACATTGTGAGATCCCATCTCTACAAAAAATAAAAATAAAAAAACAAAAATTAGCAGACCATGGTGGTGTATGCCTATAGTTCTAGCTACTTGAGAGGGTGAGGTGGGAGGATTGCTTGAATGTAGGAGGTTGAGGCTGCAGTGGGCTGATATCGCACCACTGCATTCCAGCATGGGTGACAGAGTGAAACCCTGTCTCAAGAAAAATTTTTAATAATAATAATAAACACTTTTCCATAAATCACTATGCTTTGGGGCAATGCTTTTCAATATCCAGAAAGAATAGTAAGTTAGATTTTAAGCAACTGTTTCTCAGAATCTATTTGCTTACAGATGCACTTTAGATAAAGGTGCCAATATTTATTTCCTATTTATTGCATTATTTTTCTTGTTAATTTCAGAAACTTGGAGGCTCAGACCCTGGTTTAATGTGTCCTTCTCTTACTCCTGAGTTGCAAGCAGTAATAAGAGAGGGTGGTTCGTGTACAGTACTCGATCAGCCTATTCCACTAGATAGATTGGTAGTCAAAAGTATTGAACCACTCCATTTATCAGGTATGTGTCTATTTTCATTATTCAGCTCATCTGTTTGCCATCACAGAGGTTTATATTGGCCTTTTTTGGTAGCAGGACACAAATCTAAGTCTTCATAAAAATAAGACTGTATTCCTATATGTCTATATATCTTTCACTCTATGAATTAGTTATGTCCAATGCTTGAATGACAGCTCTATTACTTGCTAGCGGTATGCCCTTAGACAGGGCACTTCAGTTTTCTAAGTGTCAGGTTCTTCTTAACAAAATAGGGATAATAATATCTATTTCAGTGAGTTTCTGTGAGAATTAAATGAAATAATAAATGTAATGTATTCAATAAATGATAGTTGCTGCTATTGTTATTGCAGTATTAATACTATTGCTATTATTAAAACACTGAGAAACCATGACCAGATATGGTCTACTTAGGGCTTGAGTGGGCAGCAGTGTTCAGGAGGAAGCAGACACCACTCTGCCTTGGCTAGAGGCCCCTAGACCAGCTGAGGCCAGGCAGGTGGGGACTGACTTCCTGTCCCCATGGGAGGGGCAGGAAAAAAGAAAGCACTCACCATCCCTCTCAATTCCCAACCCAGCAGCCAAACCCAGAGCTTCAGTGACTAGCATAGGACTGACCCATGTATAATAAAGAAACCTTAAAAAGTGAATGAATGAATGAATGAATGTGCAAATAACAATAGCAAATACTTATATAGTTATGCTACATAACTAAATTACGTATTTAAATGCCAGCTGGGTGCAGTGGCTCATACCTATAAATCACAATACTTTGGGAGGCCAAGATGGTAGGAGTGTTTGAGGCCAGGAGTCCAAGACCAGCCTGGACAACATAGTGACACCCAGTCTCTATTAAAAATAAAAACAGCGAGGTGCAGTAGCACACACCTGTACTCACAGCTACTCAGGAAGCTAAGGCTGTAGGATGGCTTGAGCTCAGGAGTTAGAGGCTGCAGTGAGCTAGGATCGCCACTGCACTCCAGCCTGGGTGACAGAGTGAGACCCTGTCTCTGAAAATAAAAATAAAATTAAATTGTAGAAATTTAAATGCCTTACATATATTAACCCATGAATTAATAGAACCTCTCTCTCCAAGAGCAGAAGGGAAACCTGTATCCAGAAAGATAGCTTCTGCCTCCTGTGTCCCTTCTATTTTCAGTAAGATTTGCTGAAAGGTAACAGGGCTGACTTTAAAGCCTCTTGTATTTGACTTTGACCAAAGTCTACGTAGGCCAAAATCTGAAAAGCCAGAGAGTGGTTCAGGAGCAAGCCACAAAAGGGGTATGTCAAGGTTGCAAAACCCTTGCCTGGTGAGTGTGCTCACTTTCAGTGTGAGCCTCTTCCCTGCCCAAGGGATGGCAGAGGAATGTAGTTTCAGTATGTTGGGGCTGGAAATCACTTCCATTCTCTGATCTGTTTAGGTTACTTTTTCATGGGGAAAAGTATCACAGCAGAGGGCAGCCTCCTGTGCTAGGAATTTATTCTCTTACTACAGTGGCTATCATTCTAGATTGTGGCCTGACACATGGACTTGAGTAAAGGAAGGTGCCAGAACACCCATGAGGAAGAGAAAGCAGTGCGGCTAAGAGGTTCAGTGTAGTCACTACCCTGCCAGCTTTAAGACTTACACTTCATGGGAAATCTGACATCAGTGAATTACCTTGAAAGATGTTTTTTCTCCTCTATTTCATCTTTTTAATTAAAAAATCTTTAAAAAAATACTATGTTTCTGGGGCCAGGTGGGGTGGCTCATGCCTGTAATCCCAGCACTTTTGGAGGCTGAGGCAGGCCAATCACTTGAGGTTAGGAGTTCAAGAGAAGCCTGGCCAACATGGTGAAAAAATACAAAAAATTAGCCAGGCATGGTGGCACACAGCTGTAATTCCAGCTACTCGGGAGACCGAGGCACAAGAATTGCTTGAACCCAGAAGGCAGAGGTTGCAGTGAGCCTAGGACGTACCACTGCATTGCAGCTGGGGTGATGGAGTGGGACTGTCTCAAAAAGCAAAAACAAAAACAACTATGCTTCCAGTGTTTCCACCTTTTTAATTTTCTGACTTGTAACTACCATCTCTTGTTCCTTTTAAAAATATTTTTCTCATTCCTCAGACCTATTAACTTGACTAATTAGATACATTACATGAGGCAGAGCAGCTATAGAGCTGGAAAGAGTAAATGAGGAGAGACTGAGCTCTGGAGTGACAGACCTAATTGCAAATCCTGGGTATATCATTTCTAAGCTCTGTGACCTTGGAAAAATTAATTTTTATGTTTCCTCATTTGCAAGTAGGAATTAGCTGACCTATCTCATTGGGTTGCTATGTAGAGAAAAAACATAGCATGGTGCCAAGTACATAGAAAATGTTTTAAAATGGTGTCAATTCATATATTAGAATGTCAGTGAAAAAGACCTAGTCCTGCCAATATATGATACTGTATCCTAATTGTATTCTACAGACCAAGCTTAGCAGGTCCTAAAAGTCCCTTGTACCCATACTCCAAACCAAATGGATGCAGGATGCCTGGAATAACTTAAAAGTACAGTTACAGTTTTTGAGGAAAATAATTCCAAAAAGCAGCCAAGAACAACCACCTGATCTTTAAAAGCCTCATTTGCTATAGGGAATTTATAAGGCAAAGAATTAGAGGGTAAAACAAACACAGCCAGCTTTCTTTCCCCCCAGAAAGTCATTTTAATAGGTTTAAATCCTCTCACTGCAGAGAAGCTGGACAGAATTTTACGGCCTCTCATTAACAGACTTTGTTGTAGTAGAATTTAGGAATTATGATGTTTAGACTGTTATGAGTATAATCTGTGATACTGGGGTAGTTCTTGCAGTTAAGAAAATAAGTATTGTATTCACCTGGAATCTGAAAGAAGCCCAACCCTCCTCAGATAAGCCTGAGTTAAACTAACCCCAACCAATATAAATATTGGCAGCAGACAAGCTTATCAGCTTAATGATTAGCAAGAATATGTCACTTGCTCACTTTCTCTTCCCTGAAGTACTTGATAAGGGCAGGAGACAGTCCTGGCCTGTTTTTTTAGTTTGTTTCTAAACATTGACTATAGAAAGAATGTATATGCTGCAGGATTCTGTTGTATTAATAATTCAAAGAGATTTTCATTTTAAGAGCTCCTGCTATATTAAAAAAAAAAATCTGTTCTCCCACTATCTCCTGTCATTTTTTTGAGACCAGCTAGAAAATGACAGAACAGGCTTTCTTTTGCAAACACAGAAGCCACACCAACGCCTCTTTTTGTTTTGTTTTACATTTCACTCAGTTTGGTGGATGCTGCATTTTATTTGAGTCAGTTTTTTGGTTTTTCTTGGCCTGTAGTGAAGCATTCAGGTGGCTTTGTATTTTTGCCACATCTTAATTTGTTTATAAACCTTGTTTGGATGTGACTTCCCTTTCAATACAAACTTAAAAATTTTTAAAGGAGTGAGAAACAAAACAAAATATTACATTGTTTTATTTTTATTATCTGTATTTTCACACACAAAAAAAAATATCTACCTCATATGCTTAGCTTGTTCTATGAGAAGGGGTCCATTTCCCATCACTTAAGCCGTAATTGCATTTCATCAAGTCCCAGAAGTCATTAGCTAAGGAAGAAAGGTTTTCATATTAGAGTGGGCTTATTTGAACACAGTAGTGGGGTCTTGACACTGAAATAAAATTTTTTTAAAAACCTGTAATCTACATGAAACTCCCACCCTTGTTAAAAACAAAAACAAGCTAAATAGAAAACAAACCCCAGGTTCTTGTACTAAGAAATTGTTTGAATTTCATATGAAATGATTTGGCTTTTTGTCTTTGTAATATCTTCTTCTAGTCTTTGGGCTGAGAAATGCTTTTCTTATACAACATGAAAACAGATATCGACAGTGTATAGCAGCATTCTTATTACAAGCCCAAACAGAAAACATCAAGGTATGTATTTTAACTTTGTAGGTCTTTGATTCTTCAGCATTTACATAAAGAAAAATCTCACCCCAAGCCTCTTAAATAACAGTGAATGGAAAGTTTTGTGTATTTCCCTCATCCACCTGGGAAGGGCAGATTTGGGAGGAGGGGAGGGATACATCTAGTCCATATAATGCTGCAAAGTCTCAGTGTTGACAATTTCCTCACACTTGCAGAATTGACATAAAGACCCTTACTCCTGCTGCAGAAGCTCAAGAGCTGCCTGTTCTGCAGTTTCTGTAGGAAATGGGGTACGAATTGCTTTGGATTGCATGATGATGAACTTTTAAGATGCTCCAATCAATTACCAAAGTGCAAATAATAAGATATTAGTGTAAGAAGGGCCTGCTGCAATAATGATCCGTGTCAAGTCAGCCTGTCAGCCTTTGAAAAATTGCCATTGTTTTTACAGCTATGGAATTGAAAGAGCAGCTGCCTGACTCTGATTTCTCCTAGAAGTTTCTATTTTTGTATTTCCCCTGGTAGGCTTTCATCACAGCCACAATATGGCCAGACAATAAATGCAATATTCCATTTCCTGAGTCACTGCCCTCAGTCTCTTTCAAATTATACCACTGGTTAAGAACTTGTTTTCACAGAGAATAGAAATTCCAGCAATGTCACTTTCAAACTACATATATTCTCAGTACTCATTTTTCTAATGAGTTACTATTATGGTTTCTTGATTACTCATAACTGTTATCCAACTTGCATATCATACTCATTTAGCCCATTTGCATTTTCCTATATGATTAGAAGTATATTAGATATAAGAAAGAAAATGGAAAACATATGCAAATATTTCATTAGTCTTCAGTTTTAAAGAGCTGGTCAATAAATATAGCAGAAAATATTAGTCCAATATGTGAGAAATTGTCAGCTTAACATTCTAATCTCTATTTCTATATTTTTCTTTTTTCAACAGAAAACATGGATGGCACAAATAACAACAGCAATTTCTTGCTTTACCAGGAATCAGGAAACCAAGAAAATATCTTTATTCACATTGCCCACAGAATCCTCTGAAATTTAGGAACCTAAAACAAGTGGCATGCCTTTTTAGAAGATTAGTGTTTAACGTATTATCTCATTCAAACTTTTGTTAACACTTAGCTAGTGATGAGCTACAAGGAAATGTGCATTTTAAAGAAGTTCCAGAATTTGGAAATTTGAGCTAGGAAAATCCTCAGTATAGAGGAATAATGACTGCAACGAATTTGAACCCTGCAGAATTTCTTGACAAGTATGTACTGACATCCAGATTACCTTCTAATGTTTCAGTCAGGTTTGTAAGAGGTGTGAGTGAAGAAAGGTGCTAATTTGTAAAGGGTGAATGATCAGATAAACGGAGTATCAGAAGGAAAACGATGTCCACTGCTTGTGTCCAATTGGCACTCCAGCATCTCACTTTGTGTGTATCTATAAAATAATGAAACCAATTTTCCTTCATGGCTTTTCAATCAGTCTTACTGCTTTATAGTCCTACCTCAAACACAATGTTAACGCTTTAGATACAAAGCTTGACTATTCTTTTAATATACAAAGAAGTAAAGAAGGACTACATTTTATCAGCAATTTTGAAATTCCTATTCTCAAACTCATCTCAGGTAAACTTTATAATACTATAACCTGGAAGTAGACAACCCCAAAGACTGAATTCCATTACTTTAAGATGAGGGGGGAAGAAAATCTGGCTTTTTCCAGTTAATACTTTTGCACAGCTTTTCTTGGCCTGTTGTGAAGTGTACAGATTTTCATACACATAGTAAAATATCTGTCTCTTAACTTCATTTTTGGAAGAATGATGATGTTTGCCATAAAAATCCTTTCTGGTTTTGATTGGAGGTTTGTGTGTGTGACAGAACACACACACCTCTGATCACCTAAATTTATCTGGCAGGACTTCAAATTTCTTCAGAATTTTTATCAAGAAAGGCATTTTGAAGAATTATTTTATTATCATGGCAGGATATATACTATTAACTATATTCAAGGAACTAGTTCTTAAGGTCCGAATATTGTATCAAATGGAAGTCCACAAACTTCCATTTCAGGCTCGTACCTTTTGCAGTTTGCAAAGTGGAAGTAGTAAATTTATCAAATTTGGCTGTAAGACAACTGAAGCCTTAGTTGATTTTGTTAAGCTGAAGAATGGGATAGAGAGGATGATATTTGGGCAAGTCATATGCACCGTAATTCTTTGAGAAAGGTAAAATTTCACCAGGCAAACAAGGCAGTAAATCCAAGTGCAGCAAAAGGCTTTTGTAAAAGGCAAGCATGATTAGAATGGAGACTAATAATCTCTTTATAATAATGTCAGACATTTAATAGAAGAGAAAATAAAAGGAAAATCTGGGAGGCAGTAACTATTATTAATAGTTAAGAATAAATGAGGTGGGGAGAAAAGCAAAGAAGGAGAGAACGGACTTCAAGCAAATTCCTAGAGATGGCATCTGGATGGGATTGAAAGCAGTTATGTCCAGGAGAAGACAATATAGGTTTATGCAAGAGAAGATTTTATAAAGAAATTTCTGGCTGAAAAAAAATTTTAAATTAACAATCATCTTGCACATTTTTAGATATAAACCAACCTAGGAGGTAAGCAGTCAACTAGGATGAGGTGAGGTCTCAAATTCCTTGAGTTCCATGAATCCAGCAACCACAGATTTACATGTATAAAGGTAGTTTTCTCCCTCTGGATCTCATTAAAGGGATAGAAAGACTGACATTAACAAAATATGTAAAACAGTTCAAGAATACACTGTACATAAACTGAAATTTTATAAAGCTCACAAAATAACACGTCTAATATACAATATATTAGATGCTTGAGGATATGCACATTAAACTCTTCAGAAGATTAGCATATTTGAATGAAGAGGTTGTGGGGGAGGAACAAAAACCATTCTAGAACCATGGTTTCCAGGAAGAAAAAATAGTGAAAACAATGGCACACTGGGCCTTCAAAAGGTATCTTTGGGGAGGGGAGGGAGAATAAATAAATAAATAAATAATATTTAAAGTATCTTTAAATGGTCATCTGGGTATTAAACACAGATACAAAGTGACATAAGGGATTAATTACGTATTTTTTATATTTCTTTTTAGTTTTGTTAATTCTCTATAATATTAAATGGAATGTCTAAAGCAAAATGGCATTAATAATTTCTCTTAAGATCAGAAACTTACTATTCTAAATTAAACAACATTAAAACACCACTGTCTACATCCAAGTGCAAAGTCCTAATATTCTGTAAATAAATAATGCAAAATGGTTAAGATAGTGTTCTCTTTTGTTAAACAGACAAAACAATTTATAGTCAGAGAATAAATCTATACTTTAGAAAGAAACGTTTTTTAATATAATCTTTAAACATATTAAAAAAACAAAAGCAACAATTCAATAAGGATCCTTCCATTGTATTTTATACAGACTTAAATGGTGTCATGTACTTTATCAGTGACATTTATAATTACTAACCTTCCAATCACTGGGTCTAGAAATTGCAGTATTTACTGAGCTAACCTTTCTCAAAAATAAGGCACAACTACATGATCACAAGTAGTAAACACAATACAAATAATGAACTCAAAAACTAAATGAGAAAATGTTCATGCAAAAGTATATATAGAAGTTATGAATGTATGTTCCAGTTCAAGGAATTACAGAATGTCATATACACAACTGCATCGTGTTACAATAAATTTATTACTTCTACACAGAAAGAACTTAGTGACTTCTAGTTCTATTTTACACAATTTTACATAAATTTAGTAAGTTTATGCACAATATTCACATCCGCAACAATAACAAATTGATCATTAAAATTCAGGCAAAGGGCATTTAAGACACGATAATGTGTGGCACATTATAATTACAGAATACCATTCATCAAGCTATGTCTAGGAATACTATAATGGTGGCACATTTAAATCTTATGAATCAAATCATCCATGGTTTTATAGCCAAAGTGCATTTAAAAAAAAAAAACTTCTATAGTCAAACAGGTCATGAATATCAAAATATATGATCATAATTTGCTCTCCACTTAAAAGCTAACCATTTTTATGCAAATGTGAGGTTTAAAAAAAGGGGGCTTTAAAGTTCTCAAAACTATATAAAATAATCATGAAGACTTTTTAAGAGAGATGGGAAAATAAACAAATTTGGCAGTTACTATTTAACATTACTGTCAGGAAATACTAACGTAGCTACTTCCACAATAAGAGGTAGTTGAACAAAATGTTATTTGTACACTGCACTGAGGTTTTTGTGTTTGTTTCCCTCATGTTTTCTTCAAAGGAACAAATCCTATACCAGCAGCTTTGTCTACTTTCCATTAAAAAAAAGTCTGTAGGTATAGTTTATTGTACACTAACCCAGCAAGACTTAATTTTAACTTACATTCTGTGCCAGGGTTTGGAATTTACTAATGTGATGCCAATGTGTCTTGCATTAAAGCCAAGAGCTGTGCATGCCAGCTCTAACTCACTGAGAAAAAATAAATAGTACCAGCAAACATCTAAAATCTATAGCCAATAGGGACTCCAAAGATGATTTTTTATTTAAAAGGAAAAAAATTTAAATTTTTGTTTCCAAAACACTTTACATTGGGGAGAGATAGTAGTAAAAAAATGTTAGGTTTCATTTATATTATCAGTATTAGTAGCCTATGGTAGGCAAATTATTCAGGACTTATGAAATGAAATTAGATAAAAATTTTAAAAATCATCCAAACATCTATATATGGTTTACTTGTCATCTTACAATTTTTTTGGTGACTATGTTAGGGGTAAAGGGGAGACAAAGAGAAGGCCTGCAGGGCATCCCATTAGGAGATAAAGTGAACAAATATTCAAATCCAGATTTTTCATGGCATTTTATTATCTCAAAAACAAAAAACAGTACTGCTGAACATCTGTGTTTTTCCAGCATACTTACTAAGTTATTTATATGTAAAAGTATAGAATTAAGACTATTTGGAAGGATTTATCAGTATATAAAAATGCATAAATAGTTCAGTTTATATTATCCAACTATTATTTTTAATAAAGAGCCACTGTATTTCTTCATTATATATGCTCAAGGATATATGTTTATCCAAGTCCAGGGACTTAATCAGTATTCTTAATAGCTAATGACAACAGACAGGGTTTACTTAAATTTTTAAAAAAATAATTAAACAAATATGTAGTGATCTCTTACAGTTTATATATGTTGTAAGTATGGCATAAATATGATAATTCCATTTCAGAATATTTGAAAGCAAATGTATACTATAAACTATTCATTATAAATGAAATATGAACTACTGTTATAAAATGACTGCACTGAATGAATGTATAACTACATTTCTTCTCTAGAAAGATTAATAAACCAATATTAACGACTTCTCTCTTGCGATGTTTTACAATTTTCCAAATTAATAAGACTATGCTAAATTAAAGTTTGATTCCATTGTTCAGCATACAAACAAGCTAATTCTTAATTAACCTTAAGGTGCTTAGCCATGCTGTTTCAGTTTTTATTGTAACTCTGGGATTCCTAAATATATTTATTTTTGGTGATACTCTATTCCCAGCTGTTAGTTACTTGAAGGGAACTTCACAACATTATTTTTGCAAAATTATAAGTAAAACTGGGAACAGCTGATATGGAACACCAAACTCAGAACCATTTTAACCTTTAGTCAATTTTACAACTTTTAAAAATTCTTCCATATAAGGTAAAAAATATAAAATAAAATATTTAATGACTTCATGACTTCTTACCATTTTATATCTTGTTTTCACAGACAAAACCACAGCAATATTAGTTACTAGCTTTAAGATGCAAAATTATGAAACAAATGTATGAAGCTGAGCTATGATTGAAAAGGTTAAACCAAATAAAGGAAAAAAGCAGATCTGTATAAAACGCAAACTCAGAGAGTTTGTAAAAAGCAAACTAGAGAGACAAAATAAGGGTATGATATGAAGGCTGATTTCAAAAGACTTCTCACTTACAAGAAACCGAGAATAAGAACATTATACAATGTTTATTATTCACCCTCGAACTGAAGGCAAGGGTAAGAAGCTTTCTAAGATTCTAAATGGACAGTATGTGAGAGTTTAAGAGAGAGACAGAGAATGACCAAAAAAAAAAAAAATTAACCCTATTCTTTAAAATACGACCCCAGATAACTGTAAGTAAGCAAATTGATTTTACAGACGTTTTCGTAAAATCCACCCAAGAGAATTTAATTAACATTGTTAAAACAAAAACCATTTTTGAATTCATGGTCACTGTATTTTAAGATAAACTGTATTAAGAACACCTAAGTAGTAAATTTTAAACATAACAATGCAACTGAGCTATGAACCTATATATAATAGAAAAAGATAGCAGGAAAGTGTTATAGTTCTGTGCATGACTTCACAAAGAGAATATTTAATATAA